GTATGTCAGTCCCAGGGGGTATACTTTTCAGGGGGTATGTCAGGCTGCCCAAGTGGGACAAGCCCGCTCCCTGTGCCTGTGGAAATGCTAGTCTAGATCCAAATTTCTACTATATTGAGATTACGTTCATAGTTATTTACCTGTCATGTTCAAACACCTTCTGAAAACCCCCAAAGCATTTATTGCTAGAAACTTCTTTCAAGGCCATGATCTGTGGTGAAAACAAAAAGAAAACAAGAAAACTAGATTTCACAAGTTAATTTTTTTCTTTCAATGGGTTTATTGTGCACACGTTACTACGCTTTCTTTTTCAAACACAATGGACCACAGACCCCTGTGATAGTGATGCCTCTGTTACAGGGTAGCAAAGTTTCAAATAATATAGTTGTTTTTGAAAACTGTGTATGAGCCACCACAGCTGGATTCCTGGCAAAACATGCACCCAGTTCAGTTCTCAGTGCTGATGAGCATTTCCCAAAATGTCTTTAGAATCTGATAGCTCTGAGGCTTGGATGTGTTATTCTAAATATTAAATAAAGTTGTCACAATGCAGACACTTTTTTCTGTCTACTTATCTGCTTGTTCTTATTCTCCTAGAAATTAAATGTCCACTGAAACACTAAAACATAACCTTAAGCCTGCCGTGTGTGATACTTATGTACTGGGTGTTGCATAGGCTCTTTCTCTGTAATGCTGGCACTAAGCCAATTGTGCAATTTTCCCACATAGAGTCATTATTTTAAAAATTACACCTGAATTTCTAATACATGGAGTTCTATGCCAGCCTGAGGAAAAAGTGGTTTCATTCCTTCCAGCCAACAGGTAGCCCCTGAATTATAGTCCTGTTCTATGGGAGTCCAAGATTCTAAAGCTGAAATTAACTGGACGCCTTCACCTAGCGAGATGACCTGTTTTCCTCAGAACAGGATTCTATAGGTAATACTTTTCTCAGACTAACAAACAGTAACGGATTTCTGCCATGTCAGATGGTTTAGAAGAAGAAGAGGAGATTGGATTTATACCCCGCCCTTCACTTGGAGTCTCAGAGCGGCTTACAAACTCCTTTCCCTTCCCCTCCCCACAACAGACACCCTGTGGGGTGGGTGGGGCTGAGAGAACTCTGACACAAACTGCTCTTTTTCAAGGACAGCTGTGCCACAGCTTGTGACTGACTCAAGGTCACATCAGCAGGTGCAAGTGGAAGAGTGGGGAATCACACCCGGTTCTCCCAGATTAGAGTCCACACACTCAGAGTTATTTTTGGGCAGGAACGCACAGGAACGGAGTTCCGGCTGGCTCCTGAGTTGGCCACGCACAGCAGGAACTCATTAGCATAATAGGCCACACCTAACAGCAGACACTCATTAGGATTGGCTAAATAAGGATGTGTGGCCTAACATGCAAAGAAGTTCCTGCTACAAAAAAAGCCCTGGGTTTTGACAGCAAACAAGATAAACAGAATAAGAAGCAAAAGGTGGGTGTGGTTGGATGACTACACTTCTGGTAACATGGGGGTGTGGCCTAATATGCTAATATGTTTCTGCCATTGGGTGTGGCCTATTATGCTAATGAGTTCCTGCTGGGCTTTTTCTACAAAAAAAGCCCTGCACACACTTAACCACTACACCAAACTAAAGGCCTTCTGTAGCTTAACAAATTTCTGCAGGACTCTTGGATTCTATTTCTGGTAATCTGAGGGAGAAGAATGAACCAGTAGATTAGTATAAAGAAGAGGAAGCCTGGAGTGAGCAAAAAGGAGCCTGTTCAGGCACCAGCAATTGGAAACCTACATCTTGAGGCTGAAAGTGACCCAGAAACATCACAACAGCTGCAACAAGAAGTGAATTAAAAGTTCCTTACTGCTCCGGGCCTGGCGTGATGTGGTCCACGGGGTCGCAAAGAGTCAGACTTGACTGTGGGACTGAACAACAACAAACTGCTCAAAGCTCCGGTTACTGACTGAGACGCTAGCAAAAATCTTCCCCATCCCTTCTTGACAGTCTCCAGCCGCATTCTCAGTTCTGAAAAGAAGTGGGCTAAGGTTGTCCTTCTCCTTCTACCATGGCCAAGGTGCAAGTGTTAGAGGCTAAAACTGTTAACGCTGATACAGGCTACAACCTGATCCTTTCAACGGGAGATGCCCGGGATTAAACCTGGGACCTTCCACCAGGGACTCAGTAATCAAATAGGAAACACAAAGAGGAGATTTTAGATTTATTTACTTGTTCTTCACTTTCAAGGAGCTGCGGTGGCTCAAGTGGTTAAGACGCTGAACTGCAGGCTGTGGAAGGTCAGTAGGTCAGCAGTTCAAGACCCAGGTGCCACATGATGGAGTGAGCTCCCATTTCTAGTTCCAGCTCCTGCCAACCTAGCAGTTCGAAAGCAAGAAATTGCAAGTAGATAAATAGGCACCACTTCAGTGGGAAGGTAACAGCGTTCCGTGCACCTTGGTGTTTAGTCATGCCGGCCACATGACCACGGAAACGTCTTCGGACAGCGCTGGCTCTTCGGCTTTGAAACGGAGATGAGCACCGCAACCCTAGAGTCGGACTCGACTGGCTTTCGAGCAAGGGAACCTTTACCTTTACTCTTCACTTTCAGATTTTTTTATTTTCTTTTTTCGGCAAGCCAATCTGAAAAGCTTGGTTAGACCAGAGGTGTCAAACTCATTTGTTACAAGGGCCAGATCGGACATAACTGTCTCTTTGTTGGGCCAGGCGATGTGTGCCATAAAACGTAATGCCAGGTACCAGAGATATAAACTGTATAAAGGACAGCAGCTGGTAAGCTCCGAGATGGCGTATCCTCACTGCAAGGCCCCCCTGGGGTGGGAGGAGGGTGCAGAGGGAAACCCAAACGGGTGGACTGGAGAGCCAGCGGTGCAGCACTGGGCAGACGCTCCCATGCTGTTTGACTGCTGCAGATGAGGTTGTTCCGCCATGCTGAAGCAACAACAGGAGTGGCTCCTCCCCCTCCCCCTCAGCAGTCTCCTGTTCCCTCCCTTGCAGTAGTTGCTTGCAAGCTGCATAAGAACCCTGGGCAGGCCGCTTCCAACCCCTGGGCCTCATGTTTGACACCCCTGGGTTAGACTAGGATCTGGGAGACCTGGGTTCAAATCTCTGCTCTCCCATGAAGCTCACTGGTGACCCGGGGCCAGTTGTGTGTGCTCTCTCTCTCTCTGCCTAACCTACCTCATAGGAGTGTTGTGAGCATAAAATGAGGACAAAGGAAACACGTATGCCTAGCCAGATGGGCAGATAGCAGTTGGAATTCATGGACAGGTACCCATTTGCCGAAGTGCTAGAAACAGGGAAACCAGAGGCAATGCAATGCAGGGCCCCCGTACCTTTAGTAGTTGGGCAGAAGAGGAAATTTTGGGAAGATACGCCTTTTCATGTAGTGATAAAGAAAAAGTGACACCCAAACCTCTTCTATTCCTTACATTCAGTTAATTTTAGGATCATAGCAGACAGTTGGGAAATCCCTTAATAGGTCACCTATTTAAGCCTGGCAGAGAATCCCTTTGTAAACAATACCGATCTCTAAATTTCTGGAGTAGCTTTGGCTGCTTTTGTGCCTGAAGAGTTCTTTGTTCTTGAAAATTATTTTCACCTCAGCAGTTCACTCCTGGTGGAAAAGGCCACTATGAAGACAGAGCTGTACCCAAAATCCCCAAAACACAGCAAGGATGGAAACTGTGCAGTACCAGCAGCAGTTGTGGTAACAGAACACTGAAGTAGAAAACACAATGCTAGGCATGGATGGATGAAAAAGACATGAAAGAGCACAGCTGGCTAAGGAGGCAATATCCCCAGTCTGTTAAGAGGGCCAGTCTCACTTCTAATGCTAGTACATGGCCGTACTAAAAAAATAAATAAATCAGAAGAAGAACCCCTGCCAACAGAAGAGGCACTATGTTCAAAAATGTCACAATACAAAAGAAGGGGGCAGGACCAAAATGCAAACAAAACAAGATATCAAATTGCATTTTGATTGCCCACCCCTAAAACACGTTCCATAGGTTATAAGGAATATTGTGGCTTGACGAGGCAGTTTGGACAGAAAGACAGAATGCAAGAGGATTGGGTTGACAGAACAGATTAGGTTTTAAACAAGCTGTAACGGGCAAGCAGTTTCTGTCATTCTTCAGCTGAAGGACCAAAGTAAAATGGTGAAAGAACAGACGGTAAAAGGGAAAAGTGACTGATTGAAACTGGGGAGAAGCAATCAATTAAAAACATTTAAAAAGAAATCAAAAGGCCTAGATGACCTGAGACACAGTTTCTGAACAGGGCACAGTGAATGCTGGGAGAACCAAAATGACAAATTTCTTATTGGACACAGTTGATAAGCAAGACACCCAGGCAGTTGTCAGAGCCTGGGATCTCTGGCCCAGAGCCAGAGGCAGAACTTTTACTTCTAGCAGTGATGTCGCTGGCGCTCGATTAGTCACAGCCTCAGGTAATTGAAACGCTGCACTTTCACTCTGGACTTAAAAGATTACCATTCAACGCCCGTTTCCTTTATTGCCATTGCTTTGTTCTGAAACCCGCGATGGCAGCAAAGTGTACATAGACTGTGCAAACCTGGAAAGAGATTACTGATAATCTACATTTCAGTGGCAGCGAGAGAAGCCCCAGCAGATTCCAGACTCCTTGAGAATACCTGAAAAATTAAAAACGAAATTTGTTTCCACACCTACCTCTTCAGCTAGTTTTTTAACCCTAATACGGCTCCGAGCACGTCAGTCCAGCAGGACAAAACAAGCCTTGGAGGGGGAGAGGTCCTGCTCACATGGCCTCCCTTGAAGTCTTCTTCGTGACTTCTGATAGGCTCCCCGACCTCACCCCTTTCAGTGAGTTCATGGGAGTTGTAGTAACTGCGTCCATAATTTTCCATGCTTTGATAGAACGGGAGAACCACATCTCCCGAGATGCTTTGCTTTAATCTCTGTGGGGGCGTTCTCTGGCGTGGGCATGCGCACATCACGCGGAGGCGGTGATGTCTCCTCTGTCCTGAAGAAGTGGGGCGTTAAAGCGCCCTGATGGGGCTGCGCCAGTTTGGCCGCGCTCGGTTGCTTTTGCTGGGAGGGGTTGCCTCGGTTTTGGTGCTGGCAGCTCTGTATGGGCCCGGGCGTGGGTCGCAGGTGGGTTGGCCAGTATAATAGTTATCATAAACTAACAACAGTGACGGTAATTATCATCATTGGTATTATTATTATTGGTCCTAATAAAGGGCTTTCGCGTTTTGCACCAGGGTCTGCTTTCTTAAAAGATTTTTTTTTTGTCTTATTCACCTGTGAATTTGCGTGGGTTTAATAAGTTCACGTATGAAAACTCATATGATAAGCTTGCTAATAGTTCTTTAGCTAGTGGGGAAGCCTAGCTGTAGGTTTATTTTTTATTTTTTTGGAAGAATCATTAGCCAGTTATGGGGCAGGTTGTTTCCTCTGGAGACGCTGTAGATTCTAAGAGGTGAGCTTGCTAATATTTCTTTAGCTAGTGGGGAAGCCTAGCTGCAGGTTTATTTTTATTTTTTTTGAAGAATCATCAGCCAGTTATGGGGCAGGTTGTTGCCTCTGGAGACGCTGTAGATTCTAAGAGGCAGATAGTGCTGTTTCAAAAGTGAGGAAGAGTTTGGGTTGTGACTATAATGGATCTGACAGAACTGATTAGTATGAATCTTAAGTATAACCTGTAACCCTTATTTCTGTAGTGTTCAGAATATTTTTACATGCGCTGCTCTTGTCATCTGTACAATGACCCTGTAAGGTAGGTCGGAATGGCCAGTGTGAGTCTGACGTGAAGAGAGCCTTGCTTGAAGTGAGAGATGGCATTTGAGGGGGGGGGGTACTGCCTGATTGATAGCTCAGTAGCGTTTTGGTTAAAATTGACTTCAAAAAGAGAACAAAGTTTAAGTCCAGTGGCCTTTAAGACCAACAAAGGCTTACTCTATAAGCTTTTGTGTGCAGGCACACTTCTTCAGATACGATGAAGTGGAAATTACCAGTACACACACACACACACACATATATGGCAGATGTAAGATTCAGTCCTGCTTTGTATTCTACCACTGTCAAGAAGCAAGGTTGGTGAGTCCCAGGGACAGAGCCTTTTCTTCTGTGGCCCCAAGGTTTTGGAATGCCTTCCCCAGTGTTTGTGGTATATCTGCTTAGTGCTATTGCTTTTGTATGGTTTGTGTTGGTAAGCCCCATCAGGATTAATTTACCAAGAGAAAGGGATATACATATTTCAAAATAAATAAATTGAACCTGATTGAATGTGGTCATCTGTTTGTTCCAGCTTCCTTCTTCTGGTAGTGACTAGCCAGATGTTTCCAGGAAGCCTATAAGCAGGGCTTGAAGATGACTGCTTTCTCCCATTGTATATTTCCAGCAAGTAGAATTCAGCGTCAAAATTAACTTGCAGCCAGAAGGAAGTATTTCTTCACTGGAAGAATAATTAACATGGGGAATTCACTGCCAGGGGCAAAATGTTTTTTTTCTGTTGTTCAACAATCAATCCATTAGCGTAGATGGCTTTGAAAGGGTTTAGACCAGGAGTGCCCAACATGGTGCCCATGGGCAACTCGGTGCCCGCCAACACTTTTCCTGGATCCCACTAAGTGTTTTTATAGAATGTGAGCAGTGCCTGGTATAGCTTGTGTCCAGCAGTGCTTCTTATAGGCTTTGCAGATTAAAAGACACCCTGCTAAACAGTGCTTCTGCCTTAAATGTTGAAGAGTTACTGTGAGAGTTAAGCATAACCTCGCTCCCAGACGTTTTGTGGTTAGCTTCGCCTCCTGCAGCAGCCATTTTGTAGTTGTGCCCACTGCCCCGTGTCAGAATTCTAAATGTTGCCACATGTTCAGAAAGGTTGAGGGGCCCTGGTTAGACAGATCCACAGAGAAGTCCATCAATGGCTACTAGCCAAGGTAAAAAAGAAGGAACCTCCACATTCTGAAATGGTTAACCTAGGAGTCAACATCAGAGGAAGGCCTTGGCCCCTATGCCCTGTTGGTTCTCCAGAACAGTTGGTTGGTTGGCTGCTGTGTAAAACAGGATGCTGGACTAGTCGGACCACTGATCTGATCCAGTGGGCCTCCTGTTATGTCCTTAAAGTCATACTGCCTCTGACCCTCAACGTTCTGTGTCTGTTGTTGCTCTTTTGCTACATAACTTGTGTAATATTGGGCTTGAACTGGGAGACTTGGGTTCAGATCCCTGACACATGTAAAAACTGCCTGATCTTGAGTCACTCTGGTGGTCCACCTAGCTCTGATGGTAGCGACTCTCCAGGCAGAGAATTATTTTTATCAGTGCTTGCTTTCTAAGATCCTTTATTTATTTGATTTATTTTACTGTATTTATACCCCGCCCTCCCCGCGAACGGGCTCAGGGCGGCTTACACAGGCACAAAGTGCATACAATATGTAAAACAGTTAAAATTCAATATAGATAAACCAGTAAAAATGCAATTCCATCGGAGCACGGCTAAAAGCTCCCAACATCTTGCATAACAGAAGGGGAGGGCTAGGGCCATAATGGAACTGATGGCCATAGAAACCAGAGATCCCCAGCGCGTAAAACGTGCTCTATCACTTAGTCGCAGCACCTCTCTAAGTTTACATATCCCAGTCGTAATTACTTAATTCAGGGGTCCCCGGCCTTTTTGAGCCTGTGGCGCCTTTGGAATTCTGGCACAGCGTGGTGGCCACAGACATAAAATGGCTGCTGCTGAAGGCAGAGTCATCCACAAAAGGGCTGCTGCGGCTTACCTTCAGTCACACAGTGAAGATCCTGGTGCTGTGATAGCCGCTGCCGCCGAAGCAATGTTTTTAAAAATCTGCACAGTCAATCAGAAGCCTTGCTGGGCAAACTCCCCACTTGGCCTTGCTCACTTTTTAAAAACACTTGGCAGGCACTAGGAAAGGGGCTGGCAGGCACATGTATGTACGCAGGCACCAAGTTGAGGACCCCCGGCTTAATGTAATCCCTCACACACACGCTCGTTGGAGGTGGGAGACCCCACCTGTATTTCCCTCCACTCCTGGCAGGTGGGGGGTGCTAAAAGATGAATGCTACTCTCTGAAAAGGACCTGTTTTAACAATCCATCATTTGTTTTAAAGCCTTTGGTGCTGTTCTTTTCTCCCTGGAGGATCGAGAAGCAGCTCTACAAGCTTGATCTCAGCTGGCCTAAATTCCCAGAGCTGTTCACGGGTCAAACGTTTTGTGTTGCTGTTGACCACATCCATGGATTAGTTTATGTGGGACAGGTAAGGAAAGGCAGTGCTCCTTCGTCCTCTCTAGGAGAGGGGATCCAGGGATAGCGTTGGCTGCTAACAGTTGTCGTAGCTGCAGTGATCCTATCTGGTACCAGCGGGGCTCTTTTTGTAGAAAAAGCCCAGCAGGAACTCATTAGCATAATAGGCCACACCCAACAGCAGGGACTCATTAGCATATTGGGCCACACCCCTGACAGCACAGCTCATTAGCACATTACGCCGCACCTCCATGTTACCAGAAGTGTGGTCATCCAGCCACACCCACCTTTTGCTTGTTATTCTGTTGACCTTGTTTGTTGTCAAAACCCAGGGCCTTTTTTTGTAGCAGGAACCCCTTTGCATGTTAGGCCACACACCCCTAATGTGGCCAATCCTAATGAGTTTCTGCCGTTGGGTGTGGCCTATTATGCTAATGAGTTCCTGCTGGGCGTGGCCAACTTGGGAGCCAGCTGGAACTCCGTTCCTGTGCGTTCCTGCCCCAAAATAGCCCTGGGTACCAGAATACCAGAAGGGGGGTCGGTCAGCCCTGAGCATAGAAATCCCCAGTTCTTTGAACTGTTAGAGCCCCCCCCCCCAATTCATGTAAGAGGAACGTTTCCTATGTCTGTGTTGGGAAGAGCTCACATTGTATGCAGGGGGCAGTGGGGGGAGAGCAGACATGCTTCTCTCCAGGATGGGTGTCCTTTCCCTATTTATTTTTGTATGTGTTTATGTATTTATTTATATTTTAGATTTATAAATCACCCAATCCCTGTGTAGACACGGCTCTGGGCGATGTACAACAAAGTTAAAATCAAATACCACGAGTTAAAATTCATAGAGTCAATAAATTCTTAAAATAGTCTCAAGATGTTTTAGTCTGATCCTTTGTAGTGTATCATGCCCTGACAAGGCCGGGCATGTCCGGACTTGCCCAGGGACAAAACCTCAAGCTTCGTATCTAAAGACAATGGGCCAGAAGGATCCTAGCCGGCCCTATCAGATGGCTAGGTCCCAAACCGTGAGGCCAATAGGTCTCTCGGTTACTGTAAATAGCCTATCGGGGAGTGGGGTGTGTTTGGGTGGTGGGTTTCCAAGGGAATATAAACCGGCCTGCGAGCCGGCCAAGGTGTCTTTTGTTCCGGACTAAATAAAGGTATGCTTAGCTGAAATCACTCTCCGCCTGCATACTTTTCATCCTTAAAAACCCATTCTGGACCATGTCACGAGGTGAAGCACGAGGAGGGAAAAACGAAAAAGATGGTAGAACTGGGGAGGGTGCCGGCTGTGATGGAAAAAACGTTACTGCCCTCCGCCAAAAAGCCTGGCGGAACGTCTCTGCCTTACAGGCCCTGCGGAATTGCATCAAGTCCCGCAGGGCCCTGGTGGTGTTTTGTAGAGAGTTCCACCAGGTCGGAGCCAGGACCAAAAAGGCCCTGGCTCTGGTTGAGGACAGCCAGATATCTTTGGGGCCAGGAATCACCAGCATACTGATGTCTAGAGGAAATGTGAAGTGGAAAGCAGGGGCCAGAGTTTTTGGCAAGTTTGGGAGAACTTCCAGAATGGCAAGAGTTGCTGAAAAGGACATTATCATCACAGCAGCCGAGACTGTTGTAATGGTGTTCTTTGGGTTTCTTGCTGCTTCAGCTGCTGACAAACTCTGAACGTGATGGCTCATTCTGAACATTCTCATCGCAGAATCTAGAAGCCAGGTGCGAGAGCCAGTTGCCATTCCATCGTGTCGCAGACAATGCATTTGTGTGTGTGGGGGGGGAGACCCGGCAGTCAGGGCACCTCGGTGTAACCTCTGCCAGTTCCCTTTATCTACGGAAAGCCTTTTAGTCGCCCAAAGGAGAGATATTCCTTACGGACACATTCTCTGGCAGAAAAAGGAGGTTTGGGGCAGTGCATTGAACACATGAAGCCGCCTTATACTGATCCATCACAGCCAGTATTGTCTGCTCAGACTGGGAGCGGGTCTGCAGGGTGTCAAATGGAGGCCTTTCCCATCCCCTTCTGCCAGATCCTTAGTGGAGTTGCGGGGGAATTGAACCAGGGACCTTCTGCATGCCGAGCAGATGCTTTGCCACTGAGCCATGGCCCCTCCCCTGTTCTTTTCTAAATTTTATTGGACTTCTTTTCTCCCTCTCTCTCTCTCTCACCTCCTTTTCAGTCCACTTGCCGAATAGGGCTGCTCGGCATAACAAAGGTGAAACTGGAAGAAGCTAGCAATCCACCACCGGTGGTTCCACCCATAACCTAGGTTGTCTTCCTGGCCTAGGAAATATGAGGCTTCGTCTTCATAGAGATGGTGCTTCGGCTAACGTTACATTTCCCGAAACGAGGCTGTCCCAACGTTGGAGGTTTAGGATTTAGCTTTCTGTTTATGTATATCTGGGTCAGGCTGCTTGAACTTCAGCAGTATTTCTCCAGGGCTGATTTCACACTAGGGCTGCCTCGCTGTGGTATCGCCATTTGCCCTGGTTCTATTGGTCAATTTCACACCCGAAGCTGCGCGGCTGATTTTGACCCGCAGCTTCGCCCGATTTCCTCCGCAGTTTCGTTGATCCTCAAAAAACAGGCTCACGAAACTGTGGGGGAACTTGGGCAAAGCCGTGGGTCAAAATCAGCCGCGTGGCTTCGGGTGTGAAATTGACCAATAGAACCGGGGCAAACGGCGGCACAACAGCGAGGCAGCTCTAGTGCGAAATCAGCCCAGGTATAAATGAAGAGAGGAAGGTGGACGCCTCTATTCTTGGCTTGCGCTTTTCTCAGAGGTATCTGCTTTTGACAGAAGCAGTTTCAGATTAGAGAGGGATCCTGTCAGCCAGTTCTCAGCAAAGAACTGCAATACTGAACGCTGGCTGTTATGCACTGTTCCAGGTAGTCGGGCTTACCAACAGTTTGCTTATAGCAGGTTTTCAGTAAGCATCCCGGTAAAATGGGCAGTGAGAAGGATTTGATCAGGAGCTGCGGTGGCTCAAGTGGTTAATACGCTGAACTGCAGGCTGTGGAAGGTCGGTAGTTCAGCAGTTCGAGACCCGAGTGTGCCGCATGACGGAGTGAGTTCCCATCTCTAGTTCCAGCTCCTGCCAACCTAGCAGTTCGAAAGCAAGAAAGTGCAAGTAGATAAATAGGTACCACTTCGGTGGGAAGGTAACAGCGTTCCGTGCGCCTTGGTGTTTAGTCATGTGTGTGCTTAGTCATTGCCGGCCACATGACCACGGAAACGTCTTCGGACAGCGCTGGCTCTTCGGCTTTGAAACGGAGATGAGCACCGCAACCCTAGAGTCGGATTCGACTGGCTTTCAAGCAAGGGAATCTTTACCTTTACAGCTCCCCCCCACACACACCTTGACAAATAGAAATGGTGGGAAAGAACTACTTTCCAGGGTCGTTAAGGGAAATGAGAATATATTGTGTTCCTATAAGGGGTTGAGAAATGCCTAGGATTTCCCACTGCAATAGCTGAACATGACTGGTCATCTTTCGTTATGTCTGTGTATCTCCAGAGGGGCGATCATGTGCCAAAGGTCCTAGTGTTTTCGGAGGAAGGCTATCTCTTACAAGCATGGAATACTACCCTCGAAATGCCCCATGGCATCTTTGCACTGAACACAGCCAATGATAGTTCAGTGTGGATCACAGATGTTGGAACAGGTAGGTAGAAATGTTACCGTGGAACAAAACCGTGGCTTGTGTCTTTGCGTTACTGCCTCCCCTGCCCTCTGCGGCTCCAAATGCTTCCCAAAATGTTGCTCCGGGGGAGGACAGGGGAGCCTCCCCCAACAGCATTAGGAGCAGTCAGAGGTCTATACCGTGGAATCAGTAAAAGTCGGCTTCCTTTTCCATTCGTTGAAATCCCCTAATGGATCCATGCCAGTGATTTTATAATATCCAGTTGCGGGTTCAGTGTAACTTCAGTACGGTTCACCCAGAGTGCCCACCTACAACTCAATCAACCATCCACTGCATTCAGCTTTGAAAAAGCAATTTTATGCCCGAACGTTTAGATGGAAAACACCAATGGTTAAATTGGGCAGCAAACATTTGTTGGTTTTTTGGACAGGGGAAAAGACAAAGGAAGTGTGGTACTCAGCTAGGAAAACATTTTTCCATCGTGATGGGTAGATAACTATGACCAGGCCCTCTGCATTTCCTTGGAAATGTTTTCTCATATGTAATGTTTCAGAATGTAGTCTCCCAGGTTTATGCGGCTTGCTGACTTTCAGCTTTTAAGCAACAACTATGCACTGTATTAATTCAGATTCTTTAGATGTTCATAAAAATGTTGGAAGATGTCGGAGAGGTGGCAGGTATTCAGATTTCCAAAATCCTTCGATGGCATACAGAATAAACTAGGACAGATCACAACATTGTCAAAATAAGAAAAGTAAAGAAGAGAGACTTACACAGTTAACCATCCACTGCATTCAGCGGATGTTTTTTTTAATCACAAAGGGAATCAATTAGTCCCCGCTGCTCTGAAAGTTTTTAACGCCAAAGTAGGTGCCCAATTGTTACATGGTATCCCATTATGAATTGGCACTTTTGATTGTTCCTTGAAACGTACCCAAGCCAATTTTCTTTGCAGAATTCTGGGAATGCCGCATTGTGTGCCATATGCAGCCCGATGCCTGGGAACTGGACAGGCCCTAGTCGAAACTAGGGTATGGCCTTTAACTATTTAATATTGGTTGCAAATGCATTATAATTCTGATCCTGACAGCCTTATTTTCCAAATGCTTTCGGAGGTGGCAGGTACAAAGATTAGTGGGGGGTGGGGGGAATAGGTGGCACCCCGTGTAAGGCTGCCAACCCCCAGGGGGTACCTGGAGATTGCCTGCTTTTGCACGTGACCGCCAGACAACCAAGATCAGTTCCCCTGATGGCTGCTTTGGAGGGTGGACTCTATGGCATTATCCCAAGAACTGAAACCATGGTAACCCTCACCTCCTTTTCTAGGCCTACTGTCCAAGGTTTCACGTTTACTTTAACATCTCCCTCTACCAAAGGAGCATTAGATAAGTTAGGGATCTTTGTGCTCTCCCTAACTCATCTCGTGATCCTTTGATACAGGGCGATGTTAAAGGAAAAGAGAAACCTATGGCATTATTCCCTGCTGAGGTCCCTCCCCTCTCCAAACCTTGCCCTCCCCATTGGGTTGCTGGCTCTCTCCTGGCAACCGACAGGAGATGGAGGGGGGGGCTTACCGGGAGCAGGAGGGAGGTCCAGCCAATGTGCAGTGATGTGCCTAAGTCACTGTCCATGGTACCTGGAAGTGACATCATCATGTTGTGGACGATGGGGATGATGCTCTGGTATATGGGCAAAAACTCAATGGTACATTTGGCTTCTTCCATAGAATTTTTGCCCAAATACCAGAGCATCACCCCAACGTTCCCAACGTGACAATGTCTCTTCCGGGTCACATAGGCAGTGTTGTAGACGTGTTGCTGTACATTGGCTGGATCTCACTCTTTTGGGGGGTAAGTTCCCCCCCACCAGCCAGCTGATTGGTGGCGGGGGCAGTGGGGTCGGCAGCAGGGGACCCCTGCCTCCCCTGGGGGGGGGGTGTCCAGCAACCCTGCCTCCATTGGGGGGGGAGCAGTCTGGCAACCCTAACTTCCCAGCTCCACTCGCAGAATCTCCAGGTATTTCCCAACCCTGAGCTGGCAGCCCTAACAGAATGCAATGTGAGACAGAGCTTCAATGTGTACTTTGGATGCAGAAATCCCTGTCAGTGCCCTCTCTAGTTCCTGTCCCGTTGCAGATGAGCGCACTCTGAATGACATCCTGCACAGCGGAAATGCCATTTTACTGAAATGTCTTTGCCTTTTTCTGAATGCAGGTGAGTACGGACACACAATTAAGCAGTACAGTCCTTCAGGCAAACTCCTTCAAGTCCTAGGTATCCCAGGAGTAGCGGGTTCAGGGACGAACCCCGTCCAGTTCGATCAGCCAGCAGAGATTTATGTGGAACACACTGGAGATATCTATGTTGTGGACGGCGATGGGGGGATGAATAATCGCCTGCTCAAACTGACAGAAGGTGAGAAGGGGAGTGTAAATGTGGCATATATAATCTTTCAAACTGCCTCAGGCTTGTAGCATATTTTTGGCTTCCTTAGAAATATAAAACTCAGTAGTGATGTTCAGCTGCTTTCGGTTCTAGCTGACCCACAGTGCAGTCCTAATAGAGTTCCACCCTTCTAAGCCCGCTGAAGTCAGCAAGGCTTACGGTGCAACAAAGTTGGGATCTTGTAGGAAGTGAGAATGAGCAAGAAAACAGATGATTTATTTGCTGATCCACCATGTTTTTAGCTTCTGTTAGAATTAGGAATGAAATTTGAACAAATAGCAGAAGGATTTCCCAGTGACGCTCTCATACTCATTGCCATGTTGGGTGGCCGGTCCAACATAAATAGTTATGGAAGAAAGTAACAGTGTGCACACCACCATGTCAGGTTGACATCACGTTCCTGGGTGATCTCTCTCTTCAACTCGATTCAGTCCTGGTCTCTCTCTATAGGGTCCTGCAGGACTCCCTTCTTCTAGGAGCTGGCATATTAGCAGAATACATTTGAAACCAGTCAGACGGCAATCTTCAAACTCTGTCTCTTTTTTGCTGACTCATCAGAGACGTGTGTCTTCCCATTTTTGCTGACTCCATCTTTCATTATCTGGAGTGCTGACTCTGCCTTTCCCATCCTGTTGCCTGGTCTTCTTTGCTGGTGGCCTTCGCACTTCGACTCTAGAGAGCCAGTTTGGTGTAGTGGTTAAGTGTGCGGACTCTACTCTGGGAGAACCGGGTTTGATTCCCCACTCCTCCACTTGCACCTGCTGATGTGACCTTGGGTCAGTCACAAGCTCTGGCACAGCTGTCCTTGAAAAAGAGCAGTCTCTGTCAGAGTTCTCTCAGCCCCACCCACCTCACAGGGTGTCTGTTGTGGGGAGGGGAAGGGAAAAGAGTTTGTAAGCCGCTCTGAGACTCCAAGCGAAGGGCGGGGTATAAATCCAATCTCTTCTCTTCTTCTTCTTCTTCTTGTTGCTTCATCTTGTAGCTGTTCTTCTCAGACTTCCGTCTCTTCTTATCTCTGCTACTTCCTCTTATCCTCTTTCAGGGGCCTTTTTGGATCTCTCACAGTCACTTGACCTGCCATTCATTCTTCTGCCTAGACATGGAGTTACAGAAGTTAGAAGTTCAACCCAGAATTCATTCATGGGTCATTTAAGTCATTTTGAGCACAGGCTGACCACAAGAGGGGTGTGACTCTGCTTAGAGTCGCACTGCTGGTGAGCAAGAGTGGGCATTATTTGCCCTGACCTGGGTAGCCCGGGCAAGCCCGATCTCGTAAGATCTTGGAAGCTAAGCAGGGCCGACCCTGGCAAGTATTTGGATGGGAGACCTCCAAGGAATACCAGGGCCGAGAGGCAGACTATCAAGCCATTTCTCTGAACGTCCTCCATGCCCCAGTAGGAGTCGCCAGACTCCATGCCATGACTTCCAGGCACACACACAAATGCACACACTCACACTCAAATGCAAAAATGCCCCCAAAAGAGTGGTCATTTCTGTATTATTTCCTCTCTACAATGGTCAAGCTGAATGAGGCTGGGGATCCTTTAATGGTAACCTTCAGGGGCTCACTGCCCTGATCCGGATCAGACAGGGAGGGGGGAGTGGCGTTTCATTTCATCCTTCCCTGCTATTTGCCTATTAAGAACAGAAGACGGGCCCTGCTGGATCACACCAGTGACTCATCTTGTCCAGCCTCCTGTTGAAATTGTTCCGTGCGGCCTTCAAAGAGGAATAGGAGAGGCCTGTGTTCCAATCTCCCCTCCCCCCCCCCCCCGAGATGATAACAGGATGGCGTGGTAATTGTGGCTTCTGTCAGAGAAATCTTTGAAGAGGGGTAATACCCCCCCCCCAAAGTAGAGGCTCCTAAATTGAATCCTGCACAACTTTTTGTTAATAATGAGGAGGAGAAAACATTTTCTTAATGGGGTTGTTTCTGCTGACAGAAAGGGCCCCAGGGGTATTTTTGCCAGTTCTCTTCTGCTGCAGATGTCCAAATTGCCCCTCGTGCTATTCCTGTAGTCCCCTGTCCCCCAGGAGCAATGTTTTGGGGTGATGAGTGGGCTGCAGCAGGAAGGAGGAGGCAGCAAAATCCATTCTGCTAAGGGAAGTTACTGCTCTTAGGATGGAGCCTGTTGCTGAGATCTAGTCTCCTGGTTTTACAAAAGTAAGTCGAACCACTCTGCTTATAAGGAGAAGTAGGGGGAAAGCGCAGTTTTATTCGGAACAGAGCGCTTCCCCCCCGTTTCCAGTTCTGTAGGGATTCTCTTCATTGCCTGGCTTTGGGGTACTTCTAGCTGGTTCTGCAAAGCTGTTAAGCTCGTCTGCCTGAAGTCTAGCTGATTTGTTGATCTCTCTGCCACATGCTTTATGTCCTGATGCAATCTCCCAAATACGAAGAGAACTATTGATTTGTGGGGGTTATTGACAAATGTTAAGTGGCCATAGAGCTTAAATAATACTTTCTACATGGTAGCTGTGGACCATAATCTCTGGATCTTGAAACAGAAAGATTAAAATGCTTATTCAAACAGCTTTCAGAGTGTTTGCCGTAATCTGATTGCGCTGGCTATGGCAGTAATGCAGGGAGAATTATTCAGCAGAAATCTAGACCTTCAGATGTGCTGTGTGGGTGAACGCATCTAAAAAGAACAAAGCTTGGTTTTGTTTTAAAAGCCACATGAATTAATTTCCCCCCCTACTATTACACCACCTTCATAGTTTCCTTGAACGAAATACTTCCATGTGTCTGAGTGCTTATTCTGTAGCTGACGTACAATAAAACAAGTATAACGTGCACAAAATAATAAGAGTGGGCTTAAAATTAGAATTAAACCGTCTTTCACTGGCAAACCTTTCTCAGATAGCAGGAGGAGCCCTGTTGATGATGAACTTGCGTCCAGTTTGAAATGCTTCTAAAAAAAGATTAAGACAAGAAAGTTGTCTGTTTTCATACTCTTCTTTAATTGTAAACACGGAGGTTGGTGTGGTGTTTTATCGATCGCTGTCTCTTCACAGACTTGAAGACTCTATGGTTGCGTGGGGAGAATGGTTCTGGCACAGCCCAGTTCAGGATTCCACACAGCGTAACAGTGGATTCTTTTGGACGGGTAAAGTACCAATGAGATCTGTGATAGAGTTTGATAGAATCACCCAGAATCACTCACACAACTGGAATTTTTAACCAAGCGCTGTGAATTGGAGCTTTCTATAGTATAAGTTCTATTCTCTGCGGAGAGCCAGTTTGGTGTAGTGGTTAGGAGAGCGGACTCTAATCTGGGAGAACCGGGTTTCATTCCCCACTCCTCCAAATGCAGCTGCTGGTGTGACCTTGGGTCAGTCACAAGTTCTCAGAGCTGTTCCCTCAAGAGCAGTCCTCGAAAGAGCTCTCTCAGCCCCACCTACCTCACAGAGTGTCTGTTGTGGGGAGGGGAAGGGAAAGGAGATTGTAAGCCGCTCTGAGACTCCAAGTGAAGGGCAGGGTATGAACGTAGTCTCCCCTTCCTCCTCCTCCTCCTCCTCCAATTTCTTTGTTGGGTCATAGGTTTTGACCTGTGTTTGAATAGCTGGGGTTCTGCCTGTTCTTCTGTTGTTGTACAGTAACCCTCTGTATATGCCTCAATGGGTTAGCCTTTGTTTAAAAAGTGTGTCCCCAGATTTTCCTGACGTGGTTCTTATTCATTGTCTGTAATCTTTGCATTCCATTTTAATTTATTATTATTATTTTTGCATGCCTGGAAGACCCCTGTTGGATCAGACCAGTGATCCAGCATCCTGTTTTGCACAGTGGCCAACCAGCTGCCTGGGCAGGTCAACAAACAGAGCAGAGAGCCCCAGGGCCTCCCCTCACGTTGCCTCCCAGCACTGGGTCTCAAGAGCTTTGCTGCCTCTGAAGACGGCACGCAGAGTTATTCCTGGCAAGGGCCGCTGATTTCAATGGAGTAACTCCGCGTCAGACTGTGCTGCAGGTCACACAGAGACGTGCACTTACACGTTAAGGACCGTGCATACATAGAAAAGTAAACTCGGCTTATGGTTTTGCACCAGGCGAAATGGATAAAAGGCAGCAGTTTCTGCGCCAGCCCACACAAAGGGAGCCTTCCATGAAGGGCTGTGGGTGTTGGCGGCTAGATGCTGGTCTCCTTGTGGTTCTTTTAAAGGAGGGGGGCAGTTTGCAAAAGGGGCCCCCCACCGAGGTTAGTGCAGCAGACTCCCGTTGTGATCCTTGGCAGGCACAAATGCCTTGAAGCTGGCCCACGAGTCCCAAACCGTAGCACAGTTATTACAGGAGGAAGGACGGCGTTTGGGCTGTGCGCCTACTTGAGGTAGATGCCAAAGATGTGTCCTGAGGCAGGGAGCGATTGGGATGAGAATAAGCAGTTGGCAGATGAGGGTGATAGTGGAGCGATTTTGTGCAATTCCTCCCCCCCCCCCCACTGCTGCCCTCTGTGCCCTGTGGCATAAGGCTGGGCCAACACCCAGCTTCACCTTTTTGGGGAACTTGGCAGCTGAGAAGGTGGGGGAAATGTCTGAATTCCTCCCATTCACAGGTCACCCATCATTTTTTTTCTGGGTCACTCCCATTTGCACAATTCGCACAATTGCACTCATATCACAGGCTAGCAAGGTCATGCTCAAGATCCTACAAGCTAGGCTTCAACAGTACGTGGATAGAGAACTGCCAGAAGTACAAGCGTCAAACATTTATAGCCTTTTACCCTTAGAGTTTAAATTTAACTGTCTAGTAACAGTACCCCCAGTCATCCCCAAGAACCAAAGTTCTCAGAGGCACAATTCAGAGTCCTTCAGCCTTTACTTCTTCTTTTCCCTTCTTCACCTTTTTGGGGAACGTGGCAGCTGAGAAGGTGGGGAAAATGTCTGAATTCCTCCCATTCACGGGTCACCCATCTTTTTTTTTTCTGGGTCACTCCTATTTGCATGTATGCGAGTGTCAGCAAACAGTTCTGAATGGTTGGTGGGGCCAGATTTAGGTTTGCAGTTAATCTCCTGGTTTGTCCCCTGCCTGAGAGAGATCCAGCTGTCTTCGACTAGAGTGGAACTCTCTGCCAGAGAACATCCATGCCCTACGGGACTTAGCTACCTTTCCGTAGGGCTTGTAAGGCAGAGATGTCCCACCAGGCATTTAGCTGAGGACAGTGAGGGTTTGGCACTCTTATACTCCCACCTCCCCTTTTATTCCTACATATCCCCTCCACCCAGGGGGGCTGGTGGAAACTAGAGTTTTCCCATCATCATGGATTTAGTGTTGTTCGTATGATTGTTTTTAATTATCTTGATGCTGTTTCAATTCAATTATATCGTATTTGCCTTTGATGCAAGCCACCCTGGGCCCTGCTAGCAGGGAAGGGCGGCCAATAAATCAGACATAATGATAAATAAATAAATCCGAGCTTTAATCATTGCTTTCGACCTATTTACATTGGCACAGATGCTGGTTATCCTAACATTTCCAACTCCATCCTTGTATTTTTAAAAACATCTAATTTCCACCTAATTTTAGCTATAAGCTTGCTGTGTTAACGTGCTTCAGAGTGAATGCATATGGTTCTTTAAAGGTAAAGGTGCCCTTGCTCGAAAGCCAGTCGAATCCGACTCTAGGGTTTCCAAGCCGAAGAACCAGCGCTGTCCGAAGATGTTTCCGTGGTCATGTGGCCGGCATGACTAAACACCAAGGCGCACGGAACGCTGTTACCTTCCCACCAAAGTGGTACCTATTTATCTACTTGCAATTTCTTGCTTTCGAACTGCTAGGTTGGCAGGAGCTGGAACTAGAGACGGGAGCTCACTTTGTCATGCGGCACACCCGGGTCTCGAATTGCTGAACTACCGACCTTCCACAGCCTGCAGTTCAGCATCTTAACCACTTGAGCCACCGCAGCTCCTTTACAGCAGTTTTAATTTGCTTTGGGAAACTAGGTGGTGGAAAGTGCCCATGAGGTTTTCAAGGCAAGAGGCAATGGAGAGGTGGTTTCCCATTGCCTGCCTCTGCCTAGCAACACTGCCTGGACTTCTTTGGCAGTCTCCCCTCCAAATACTAACCAGAGCCAACCCTGCTTAGCTTCTGAGATTTGACGTGATCGGGCTAGCCTGGGCCATCCAACTCAGAGCTTGGAAACTGAGAGGGAATCGTTTGATTTAATGTGGTCTCTGAATTGCAGACATAGGTAAAACGCGACTGGTGAATCGCCTAGCATTAACTGCAAAGGATCCAGTGACTGTAAAGTACGGGCATTCCTAATGAGAAGATGACAAGGAAGTAAACTCTTAGCATTGTGTGTAGGACTGTAGGAACTCTCTTTTTTTTTTTGCATTACTTTTTGAAGGTGAACTCACTAAATGAGCATTTAATGTTTCAGTGAAATTACAGTACATCCTTTGTTTTTCCAAATGTGCTTATCTTGGGGGTCTACAAAGAAAAAATCCGGTTTCAGACACACCGGCCTTGGAAGTAGATATTAATATTGCATCAGTTTTACGCCGGTCCCTGACACTGCATTTTGTGTCTGCGTATGTAATAAATCACATGTTTGCAAATGTGTGCTCATTCAGCCAGGAGGATTGACTGCTGCACCTCAGAGAACATGCATTGCACTGCAAGTCTGGGTTTGCTGTCAAATCAAGATAGTGGGAGTTTTTATCCTTGCATCCTGATGGAATTGAATGTTTAACTGTTTTTATCTATTTTATATACTGTATGCACTTGTGCCTTGTGTAAGCCGCCCTGAGCCCGTTTGAGTGTAAAGAAGTAAAAGATTGGGAGGGCACAGACCTCTTAACACATGTTCTTATTCTAATTTGCACAGAAATGCATAGCTGGAGGCCTCCTTTAGCCACTTGTTTATTTCATGTTATAGCTATGCAATTTCATTGTATTTTACACACATCATTATTACATACATTTTACACACATACGTTTGCATAAGCACACTCTGTCTTGCAGAATGAAAGATGGGTGGCCACAGCCACCTGAAGCAGTAACTCTATAAGGCTTTTGTACTTGGTAGGGAAAAATAACACTTGGGAAATAAAAGAACACTTAAGCATTGAAGGCATAACATAACTGCTGTGCTTAATACATTTTGATAATTAAAAACACCCCTCCTGAATTCAGCAACTTTTAAAAATATTATAATACATATATGAATAAAATTACGTTGACACTATGTGATCTGTCTTGAGTCTCCGCAAGCAAACACATCTTGAAAGGAGAGAATGCCTCCAGATGACAATGCCTGCTATGACACACAAGTACTTCAGCCTCCTCTGCTCCCCCAAGGAAAATATGCCTTTTGCTCTGGAACAGTGGGAGTTTTTATCCTTGCATCCTGATGGAATTGAATTTTTAGCTGTTTTTATCTATTTTATATACTGTATGCACGTGTGCCTTGTGTAAGCCGCCCTGAGCCCGTTTGTGGGAAGGGTGGGGTATAAATGCAATGAAATAAATAAATAAATGTTGCCTTTCTATCCATTCACGGCCACCAAGGCCACTAAGAGTTAAAACAATGTATAATAAGAACACATCTTAAAAACAGTGGATGTTGGCCCTGACCTGGGTAGCCCAGGAAAGTCCAATCTTGTCAGATATCGGAAGTTAAGCAGGGCCGACCCTGGCAAATATTTATGGATGGGAGACCTCCACAGAATACCGGGGCTGGGAAGCAGAGGCAGGCGATCAAGCCACTTCTCTGAACGCCCTCCAGGCCCCAGTAGGAATTGCCAGAGGTTGCCATGACTTCCAGGCATGCATACATGCACACACACAAAATGCAATAAGTAATAATGATAATGAACATTGTTTTTAACTTCTGGGTCTATTTTAAGTTCTGATTTTAAATTGTTTTAATGATCTGTTTCTGGGTTGGTTTTAATGGCGTTTAAGATGAGGTTTTAATTTGTTTTTAATCTGTTCGCCACCTCGGTGGCCCCGTGAGGGCAGAAAAGCAGGGTAAAAAAAATCTTATTAAATAAGTAACAACACAATAAAACCAAAACTAAAATACATATGCTGGGAACACATTAGTTAAAATGCAGAGCAGGAAGCAGGGGTCACAGGACGGGACAAAAAAAGTTTTCACCTGCTGGTTGGAAGCAGTGACAGAAGGGGATGGAGACCGATCTCCCTGGGGAAGAGTCCTGTTGCCGTGCCACAACTGAGAAGGCCCTTAACAGGAAGGGACACTCCAAGCAGGGCCTCAGAAGGTGACCTTAGCAGGGAATAGGCAGTCCTCCTTTCTCCTTGTTATCTGTGTGATGCTGGGGTTGATGCAGAGAAAAACAGTTGGGGGTGTTATGTACGTGGACCACCACCAGGGGTCCACGGAAAAGCCAGAGCTTGGATCCGAGAACAATGGAAACTTCGGATCCTGGATTCCCCAGCCCCAACCAATAGCCACCTTGGCGGGACATTCAAACCCTCCAATGGGATTGGGGGTGTGTGTGTTGGTGGATATGTATATAGTTGGCCCTGTTGGCCGTTAGAGTTAGTCTTTGTTTGTGTGAAGTACAATAAACGCGTGCTACAGTATGTCGTTGTCCGAGTCCTCCATGCGGCGAACCCAGTACTTTTCAGGGGGACCAGCTGGAAGGAAATACCAACCTCCACTTGCCCCCCCCCACTCTTGCATTGTCTCCTTTCTCCCCCCACTTGCCATGAGTGTAGATTCCCTCCTCCTCTCCTGCTGCCCCCTCCTTCCACTTTTCCGTCTTCCTCCCCAGCCTCTGCACTTCCTCCACCCTCCTACCATCTCCGTGCTCTGTTTCCAGCTGCTGTACAATGTTTATGGTGGTTACTAGGCAACCTCCAAAATGGCAGCCAGGAGCTCTGTAAGAACAGAATCCCCAGGTTTACAGGAATATCAGAGCATGAAAGAAAAGGGTGGGGAGCTTTTAAAAATGCTCAGGCTTTGCTCTGGCAGCCTGAGGCATTTTTAAAAGCTCCCCACCCTTTTCTTTCATGCTCTGATATTCCTGTAAACCTGGGGATTCTGCAGAGTTTATGGAAAAGTCCCTCCCCATCTATGGGTGACTGCCCTTTATGATTTCCTTGCATGCTCAGGGTGGAACATGTTCAGAATGAAATATATAAATTAATACTTGCCTGTTATCTGTAACAAGTTGTGATAATTTACACCAACCTGTTTAATACTCAGCTGATACAATCCACTATAGACATATTCGTAAAGTAGTTTTGTATATGTAGACCTGCCAAGGTATTTTTTAAGGTATTTGGTTTGTGTGAATAGGTATGGGTCGCCGACAGAGGCAATCAGAGGATCCAGGCGTTTGACAAAACCACAGGGGAATGGCTGGGATCTTGGAGCGACTGTTTTGTAGAAGATGGCCCTTATTCCGTCAGGTATTGTATCTGTCCCATTCAATTGTGGGCAGCTGTGGAGGGGAATCTTCTCACTTAATCAGGCTACCACCGAGCATGAAGAATTTATTTGTAATGTGGGCAATTGGGAGCCCATGTTTGATTCATTCTTTTTTTTTGCTGGGCACACCTGTCTCCAAACACTGAAGAACACATGCCATATTGAGCTGACACTATTGTTGACACACGGTCATGCGAAATACAAAGAACTCTTCCTGGTATTTTATAGGAAGACTTACCTAGCACATCCACCAAGATAATTCACATATTTTTTCATAACAACTGCCCTTTATGTGAATATGGGTGTGTGTGTTTTGATAACCCGGTTCCTTTAATCCGGGCCAGTATTTTAGACAGCCCTGGCCCACTCTAGGACTTGGTGTGGGCAGGAAACAGGAGAAAGGACGTTGTCACTGCAGCTCCAGACAGGGAAAGAACCGGACTTCCTAAACTGTACTCCTGTTTGAAACTATGTGTGCTGCCTCCTTGTTTCGATGCCTGGCCATTAAGGACACAACAATAGGATGCCAAATAACGAGATCGACCTTGATCCTTTCATTATCAAGTAGAATATTTGCATGATAAAGGTCTGATTCAACTGTTCAAATGGGGCTTAAATCTGTAAAAGAAAAAAAAGGATTAAAAAAAATTGTTGCCTGGTATATAGGTGTGTCATTGCGTGTGCGTCCATCATTTTTGAGCTCTTGTCTGCAGCTCTTCGTTCTAACGTTTTAGTAGTTGGATTTTTTTCCCTGTCTAAAACCTGTTGTGTGAGATAGACCTGCCCGATTGGATGACTGAACTAAAGTTGTTTAAGCATGCCGGTGGTCCCACACAGCTGCATGGAAGGTGCATCCTGGCTCTGCAATTCACTGTTGTCCTAGAACCTTATGAACGGTCTCACCCGTGTGCCTGCTTTCCATTGTGATGCTCTTTCCTACTAAGTCATTGAGACTGTTGTACCTAGGAGCAAACTGTGGGGCTAGCAGATTCACAATGATGTCAGGCCCTACTCATCAGGATGTAGGCCATTTGTCTTAGGTGAGAGTGTTTCTATCTGTGTGTACGGTTTTTTCATGAGAGAGCGAGCTGAAAATGTTTACGAGAAAGGCTCAGATCCCATAACAGTCGTTTGTGAGTAGAAAATGCTATTGTCAGCTTCATCTCCTGTCTATATCTCCCTCCAGAGTGCCTTCAGAGTGCTGGGAGATCCTCCAGATGCGCTGTCTCTTGACTTGGGGCAACTGTTAGGATTATTACGGGGGGAGGGGGGGTGCGCCTCCAGAACAGCTCCGACAGGTGCAGGAGAAAACCAGCGTCCTCCCCTGCATACAAACAGACTTGCCTTTCTGCTAAATACAGTGGGATCTTTGTATCCAAGATGAATTATATCACTCTCTTCCCCCCCCCCCATTCTTTAAATGGTTTCTCTTTCTTTTTCCCCCCTGCTAGGTTAACTGCCGACGAGAAGTATATGATCACAGCTCAACTGAACATCGACAGAGTGTTAATCTTGGCTGCCCCACCTGTAGGTTCAATCGGAGATTGTGTGGTGGTGGACACGATTCAGCTGGCAGCGAGAGTCAGGCCCCACCTTCTGGATATCAGCATGAAAAGCGGAGCGGTCTACGTGGCAGAAATCGGGGCTCAGCAAGTCCAGAAATACGTGCCTTTGGACTAACAACTTCTTTCACGCTGCACAGGGGGCTTCTGGACACGCTTGCTTCTCTGGGATCGCCATTGGGGGGGTGGGAAAAAATCAATGGATTGCAGCGTGAGAATACTTGAATTGCACTTTTTCTGTGCCTGTTTCAGAGACTGATTCTTTGTAGTTTTTAAAAACTGGGCTTTCCCCCCCAGGATGTGTCGAAAGGGTATACTGCTGTTTTCAAGGGGTATATCGCTACTTTCAAACCATACAAGGGTAAATCCCAACATGGTGGTTGACACTCATGGCTGCCCCAAAAGGAGTTCTAGTCGAGTACAGCTCCATGAGTCAGTCAATATCTGGAAAAGGTTATGTCTGCATGTGTCACTGGCAGTTACTTGGTAGCTGGACATGCCCAGTTAAGTGGCAGTACTTGATTTAGTGTTCAAGTGGGAGAAGGTACATGGATCATCTGGTTGGAGCACCAAGGCTGTAGGAATGATTGTGCTGCGTGTGTGCACTTCAGACAACACAGCTTCCTGGTGGTCTGAAGAATGGCCAAGGAATTCAGGTCTGTGTCCTACCAAACCAGACTCTTACATGGTGGCTGTTACGGATCTGTGAGAGGAATGTAGTGTATGTTATTATATGTACATTCTTTTTAGACTGTATGCTTTTATTAAGACGGTGCTGGTCACGTATGGAGAGGCAGGCTGTAAACCTTGGAAGGGTTAGAAGGAGCTGCAGGAACAGACGAGCACAGGAAAGCGTGTACACTCGGTCTTTGGGTATACATTCAAGGCGACAAGCAGTTCATCTTGCAGGAACGCCTTGGGCTGGGAGCTGAACCAGTGTCGGATGACCTGGAAGCCTTCGTTTCTCAGAAATAAACAGCTTGAGCCCATGATTTTGTCTCTCGTTTGTCAGAAATGGCACGATAGCCGTTCCTAAGAAGGACAAGGTTCATTAAACATTCGGGAGGGGAGCAGGAAGCTAGAAGGCGGCCAGAGAAAGAGCGGCGAAAGAACCACAGAATAGAAAGCAAGTGTCTGAACAATGGGGGTTAGCCTATCAGTATGCAAAGGCAGGGGGGTTATGGGGGTTAGCCAATAAATATGGGAGTTTGCCGATAAATATGCAAGGATGGAGACTAACGGAAAATTGGCTTACCTGGTGAATTTTCCTTTGTGTTCACTCCTGCTCATAATCCAGTCGTTGAAAATCATACTAGTAAGTAGAAGAGGGGAAATTTAAAAGGCAGCGATAGTCGGTGGCGGTGGAAAGCGCTGTCAAGTCGCGGCTGACTTATGGTGATCCCACCGGGTTTTCAAGGCAAGAGACACAAACAGAGGGTGGTTTTGCCTTTGCCTGCCTCTGCGTAGCAACCCTGGACTTCCTTAGTGGTCTCCCGTTCAAACACTAACCAAGGCCGACCCTGCTTAGCTTCCGAGATCTGAAAAGATTGGGCTAGCTGACTTCCGGTTGATGGTGGCACGCTTGCAGACTCACCTCCTGGACCTCCCGGGGGTGTCTCCATGCTCCGGCGGAAGGAGGGGGTGAGCAGGCTCGTAACCCCCCCCCAGAGGCCCGGTGAAGGGGCCCTGGCCAAGGAGCTTTGAGGGGGTAGCCTCTTCGATGGCGGAATGCCAGAGAATCGAGGCACCCCTTTGCTCCAGTGGTCCTTCCAGCCGAGAGACCGAATGGTATAAGTGAAGCTAACCGGGTCAAGCGCAGGAGATCAGGCGTTGAAACTGATGAAAGAAGCGTGGTTGGATGGCCAGTTATGAATGTGAGTCAACTGGGAAACTATTTTTAAAAGAAAAGCCGCTCCCTACCCTACTCCGCGGAATGGGAAAAGCGAGCGGGGGGGACGCCTCCCATGCGTATAAACTGTTGAGCGAAAGGGGGGGGAGCAGAAGAAAACGCGATCGGATTGCCCAGAAAAACTTACCCAAGTGAGCTAAGCAGTTAAACGCACATTCAGAGACTTTAAAAAACTTTCCGAAAGTAAACAAACAGGAAAAAGATGGCGGGGAAGAGGGACAAAGACAAAGAAAGACTTAAGAAAACGAAACTAGAGTCCCCAAAGCCGGAAACGACCAGTGAGATGGCAAAGGCTGTAGCTGAGTTCATGCGCCCTCTACTGGAACAGCTGAATAACTTCAAAGAGCAGGTGTCCGTGGTAACACAAAGCATTACTGCGCAACAAACGCAAATAACTGATTTGATTCAAGTAATGAAGCAGGATGCTGAGAAAGTAAAAGAAGTGGCCGAATCAATGCAGAAAGTGAAGAAGAAAGTACAAAAATTGGAAAAGAAAACTTATTTGGAAGATCAAATGCTTCAAGTACAAATGGATAAGGCCAACATGGTCCTGCGCTTCCAGGGTGTGCCAGAGAACAGAGGAGAGAATCTTAAAGAACTTATGAGTTGTTACTCAACGATATGGATGTGGCCTATAGGTCATATTCAGGATATATAAAGAAAAATAATCTGCCTGGGGAAATTGTAATAAGATTCTCGAAGAGGCACGTCAGGGATGCTATCCTGAAAGCAGTGGCTGCAACACCCCTGAAGGCAGGGGAGAATGCTGTTAGAACGCTAAAGGATATTCCATTTGAAGTAAGGCAACACAGAAAGAAATATAAAGAACTTGTACTCTTTCTTCAAACAAACTCAATTGGATATGAATGGCTATTTCCAGAAGGTGTAACGTTTAAGATTAAAGAGAAGAAGGAAAAGATTGACTCTGTTCTGAAAGCTCAAGAATTCCTAAAGGAACAGCTGGGAAGGTCAGAGGAAGGGAAACAAGAAGAGGACAGTAGATCCAGTGGCGAGCTGGAGACTGGTTCTTCTGGCGAGGACTCTTTGTCTGAGCAGGGGGCAGAAGCCCCGAAAAGTCCCTATACGTTGCGGAAGAGAAGGGAAAAGAAGAAGTAAAGGCTGAAGGACTCTGATTGGTGCCTTTGAGACCGGAAGCTCAAAAAAAAAAAAGATTGGGCTAGCTTAGGCCCTGCAGGTCAGGGCCACAACAAACAGGGGCAGGTGATGCTCTGTATCCTTGGTGCTTGGGGGGGGGGCAACAGTGGGAGGGCTTCTAGTGTCCTGGCCCCACTGGTGAACCTCCTGATGGCGCCTGTTATTTTTGGCCACTGTGTGACACAGAGTGTTGGACTGGATGGGCCACTGGCCTGATCCAACATTGGCTTCTCTTATGTTCTTAGGCAGTTGTAAATAAAGCGGTATCAGCAGCATGTGTCAGTGTAGCACCGGATAACTCCAGTGAAATCCAGGGAAACAGCATGGCGGGCAGAGAGACTGGGGCCGTTCCAAATGCTTCTTTTAAAAAGGGACAGCTCTCGCACGGCTCCTAAAATGCAGAAGGGAACGGGGGCCAAGCAGGCATCCTGGGCGTTCTACAATCTTGGCAGCCGATTTGGCTCCCCATTCATGTTGGTGCCCTGTTTGTTGTTTCCGTTCAGGGTTCAGGGCAGGGGGGGGAAAACCACACCCAACTGAATGGCCCTACCAACATTGTACTTTGTGCTAGAGAGAGTGCACATTGTTGAATTCTTTGTTGACAGCAGGGCAGGTTCCAAGGTGGCCCTTTGCTTTCCCACTGCCTCTAATTACTGCCTGTCCTCTGTCTGGAGAGTTTCACACAGTGAGGTAGAAACCCGTACCTCACCATAAGAAGTAGTCATGGGAATGAAGCGCCTGGTGGGGAATGCAAATGCGCTGGCCTTATTGTTCTGAAACAGTAGTTTACTATCTTGACGACCTCTTGCATACTGTGAGGCAAAGATCTGTATGAACGTATTGCCTTCATTGAAGCACAACCTTATAGCCTCAGTTTCTTTAACTCCGTTCCAAATTGCTCCTTGGAACTATTTCACGGAGATAAAAATAACATGAAGGTTTCGCGATGCTGATGCATGTTAACTAGGGCAGCTTCCCCCAGAGGCAGTTCTCTGTGTCGTCGTTTTCACTGCAAATGCAGAGTGACACAGTTGCTTTCACTATACTTTCCTTGCCTGAATCTCGTGTAACCCGCATTTCCTCTCCTGCTGCACAAGGGCTTTTAAAAATAATAATAATCAGGAATCATTCTATCACTATGCCCATGATCTACGAGTTCCCAGCTTTCATTTTTCAAATAGTTGGGCCTCTAGCCCTTTCTGTTGCAGAGTTATAAGGGGAAAGGTGCAGTGTATATGGATTTAAACCCATGTATCTCCACCCTAAGTCAAATGCTTTATTTGCTATACTGTTACACATCAGTAGCTGGTTTGTGTATAAAAGCTTACTACATTCTACCTTTGAGTTATGCATTAAAATTGCCTTAAAAAAAGGCAGTGTGCATTAAATAGACCTAGAAGCACTAGTGAGCATCTAAATTAGGTTCATGGGATTACTGGATGTGTCAGTAACCAGATTCAGACATGAAAAATGTAACTTGGAGGGCAAAAAAAAAAGTGGAACAAAATCTTTTTACCATTTCTTATGCAAGCAAAATAGATACTGCTGAAACACCAAAGAGACAAAATCTTCCACTTGCCATTATGGGCCATATTTAGTAAAGAGTTCACACTTTTTTTAAAAAAAAGTGTATTCCAACAGTGCAAAGGGGGGGGGGGGAATGCTGTTAACCATAAGGTGCAAAAAACTTGCAGCACAACAACCAGATCATATTGTATCGAAATTGCATTGTTTTATGTGTTTTGCATCACAGGATAGCTCTTTAAGAGCTTATTTATACCTGTATCTGGTTGGTGGTACAGCGTGGCTGGTATGGATGTAAACGGTAGCATGGAGTGTGAGCCCCTTGTGGATAATCCGTACAGCCATAAAGCCAGATTTATGCTTTTGCCCCTTTGCTAAGATAATAAAGCATTTGCAAACTGGGCCTTACAAGCTTAGAGATGTGTATCTGTGCAGGCGCTAAGCCACGGTGGCTAAGCACAGGGGTGGGGAATGCAAGAACCCACCACTCCCCCACCATACATATCTGATCCCCTCTTTGTGTGGCTTCACTGCTTTGTTCAGTTTCTTGACTTCTTCTACCACCTGGCCCCACAGTTCTCTTTCAAGAACTCCCACTGTGATGAAAACAGTGCCACCCATGTTTAAACAGTGCGCTCTTCCAGTTAATTTACCTAGGCCCCTTCTGAGCTACAAAGCTCTGTGGTTGATTGTGTTTAGAGAGGAGGTCGAGAGTCATCTAGGCCAGAGGTGTCAAACTCATTCATTACAAATAAAGGTTACTTTGTCAGGGCAGGCCATGTCTGCCATAAAATGTAATGCCAGGTACTGGAGAGACAGACTTTGTAAAGGACACAGGCAAACCCAGTTAATGGTATTATTTTTTTACTCAAAATACAAAAGCAATTGTTTTACTGGGGAATCCACAAAATCCTCCATAGATGTATTTAATCATATGCAAGACTAGTTTTTTTCGAAGCGATGCCGTACCAGCCTCTTGCTTTCCTCTTGTACTTGTTGCTTGCAGGCCAGATAAGAACCCTGGATGGGCCAATTCTAGCCACCGGGCCATATATTTGACACCCTTGATCTAGGCTATCCACAGGTCAGGCAAGCCCAGGTCATGGACACAGACTTCACATTCTCCAAGGTATGTTGACTTCTGTGACTTGCTGAGCATCCACCACTTGGGAAGTCTTTGACCTCGGTACTGTAGACACTACGAAAGTTGCCCTACTGCCTCTGTTTCACAATGGCTCTGCAAAAGGCAAGCAGCCAGTTTCGCATACAGTTAGAATACTAAAAGGTATCAATACACGGTGAGGATTTCGTGTATGGCTTTCTTCTGGATTCCATGTTCTCCACCTTCCTGTTCATCCCTTTAAGTACCAAGACGTTGAAATTTAAAATGCAAGAGAGATTTAGGAACTGTTAATTCCCAAGGGGGAAAGTCAGACCAGGACCATGCTAACAATAAGTTGCTCCTCCTCCACGGAATCAGGGAGGGCTCCGATAGGGTTGCCAAATGCCAACTCTGAGTTGGGAAACACCTGGAGATTTGGGGGGAGGGTGAAAAGGTGTGGGGCCTCAGAGGAGTATAATGCCTTTCAAAGCAGCCCTTTTCTCCATGGAAACTGATCTCTGTTGCCTGGAGATCAGTTCTAATTCTGGGAGATCTCCAGGCCCCACCTGGAGGTTATAATACAAGAACTGAGGGTCACAGTGTTTGGAAGATATGGAAAAACATATGACACTCTGTCATATATTTTTCCATAGCCGCCTGGAGGTTGTCAAGCCTAAACTTGAAAATCCAAATCCTTCTCCTTCCCACCCCTTTTTTCCTTGTAATTAGGTGTATTTGGTAAAACCAAACAGGAAACCCCACATACAAAAATAAACAAACCCCTGAGCTGATTCAGCTGCCAAATACTGAATGCCGAAAAAGCCCCAAAAATTTTCAGGGTTTTTTTTTTTTGGCTTTCTCGGGGAGACACTGCTGCCTACCTTTTCCCCATCCTCATAGAAAAAAATGGAGGATTGGGGGCACCCTCTTTGGACACCCTTAGAATTGGACCCCCTGGTCCAATCTTTTCCAAACTTGGGGGATCTTTTGGGGAGAGGCTCCAGCAGCTACAGTACAAATTTGGTGCCTCTACCTCAAACCCCTCCACCCGAATACTTGTTTGCCATTGACTACAATGCCCCCATAGGATATAATGGAACTGAAATTTTTAGGGAATACTGAACATTTTCAGGTACCAATAAAATACCTGTATTGGTATTCGGGTATATTCGGGAATCCCGGAAAAAATCGGCTTTATTATACCCAAATCTGGAAAACTTCCTTGGAGCCCCCTGCCTTGTCCGTGGGTGGCCCAGTCTAGCTGTTTTGGTGAACAGCACATCAACCAGCCACAGTGATTTACAACCCTGAAATATACTGCAGCGGTCAGTCCCCTGCCCTCTCAGGTAAACACTGTGGCTTGTGTGTTACACTTTCTGCTGCCAGGGACTTGTAGGCAGTGCACCTTGGCAACTTCTACTGGCAGAGAGGTGGGCTTTTTTTCAGTCACGGACTCGTAGAGTTGGAAAGGGCCATACAGGACACCTGTATCCAGGGTCAGCCTGAAGAATCCCTGACAAGTGTTCGTCCAGCCAAAGACTGCCAGTGAGGGGGAGCTCAGACCTCCTCAGGCAGCCACATCCACTGCTGAGCTACTCCTACTGTAATTTTTTTTTCACAATATCCAGCCAGTACCTTTCCAGCCTTAATTTAAACCCATTATTGCGATTCCTGTCCTCTGCTGGGGAGCCGCGGTGGCTCAGAGGTTAAGATGCTGAGCTGCAAACCGGAAGGTCTGTAGTTCGGCAGTTCAAGACCCAAGTGCCACATGACGGAGTGCGCTCCCGTCTCTGGCCCAAGTTCCTGCCAACCTAGCAGTTCAAAAGCAAGAAATTCCCAAGTAGATAAATTGCAAGTAGATTCGGTGGGAAGGTAACAGTGTTCCGTGCGCCTTGGCGTTCAGTCATGCCGGACAGCGCTGGCTCTTCAGCTTGGAAACGGAGATGAGCACTGCCCCCTACAGTCGGATTTGAATAGCTTTCGAGCAAGGGAAACCTTTACCTTTATCCTCTGCCGCCAACAGGAACAGGTCCCTGCCTTCCTCTAAGGGACAGCTTTCCAAATACTTGCAAATCCAGTGCAGACATAGTGGTTAGCATGTCGGTCTAGAATCAGAGAGACCCAGATTTGAACCCCCACTCTGCCATGGAAGCCTGCTGGGTGACCTTGGGCTCAATCACATTCTCTCTGCCTATCCTGCCGATACAACAGAGGAGAGGAGAACAACGTAAGCTGTTTTGGGTCCTCACTGGGAACAAACGTGGGGTGCAAGTGGTGCAGGTCAGTCCCCATTTTTTTGCAAAGGTGATTTCTCCAACTGGGACTCCCATTCCTGTGGGAGCTTCTCCATCTGCCTGGGGACACTCCACTTTGAAGACAGACACACTTGGGGAAAGAGAAAACCACCAGCTATGAACATTGTTAAAAATGATGAAAAACAGTACACCAGAAGTATCATAAAGACATTTATACTGATTCTAAGATACAAACAATAGTATACCGTTTATACTGCGATATAAAGATGAATATTTAAAAACAACAAAAGACATTACAGCACAATACAACAACAATGACCAAATGGTATTAGTAACAAAATCTGGAAGATCTTTGTCGTCGCTCTTGCATAAATACTAATATTCTACCGTACCGCACATATAAGAAGTTTCAGCGGACACAACTGCCCTTCACAGGAGCACTCTATCTAAAAAGGCTACATATGCTGAATAAAATATTGCATTTTTTTTTGTAATAACCTTGAAAAAACATTGAAGTTAATAAAAATTTATATAGGTCTGAAAAGGGCAATAATAAAATTTGAGAACGTGTGTACACGGATTATACAAAATACTGGGAAAAAAGTGGCCCGTTAGTTTTAAAAACGTGGTTTAATACTGCGTTTCAAATCTTCTAGCAAATAACAAAAACAATAACAAAAATAAAGAAGTGCATGGAGTTTTCACTGCAATTGCTCTGCTCCACAGTGCTCGTGTGGATGGGACTCTTCAGGTGTTCACCTGCAGCAGAGACAGAATAAATAGGAGCGGCTCACACATCCTCTGTGGCCGTTCTTGGGTCCTGTGCAATGAGAAGACGGATAGTCTATCCACGCAAAGGAGAACTTCCTGTGAGCGATAGCGCCCACTTCCTCTCCCCTTCACAGGAGACCCAGAAAGTGGCATCTGAGAAATCAACTACGGTTGCCAACACCCACTTGGGGAATGCCTGGAGATCTGGTGGGTGGAGCCTGTGGTTTGGAGAGAGGCGGGACCTTAGCAGGGTATCATGCCAGAGAGTCCAGCCTTCAAAGCTTCCATTTCCTCCAGGGGGGTTGATCTGTCCTCTGTAATCCCAAGAGATCTCCAGCCACCACCTGGAGGTTGGCAACTCTAGAAATCAACAGAAGTATTTCTTCTGTCACGGATTCAGGTGAAATGCCCGAAGCCACACGATGAAGGAAGAAAATGGGAAGCAAGACACACTAAGGGGCTTCTCCCTGGTGTGAATGTAAAGATCGAAGAGGAAAAGTTTACAAGGGACAGAGAGGGCGATTTCTCACTAGAGCTGCCTCACAGCACAGCGCCATTTGCCTCGACACAAACATGTCAATTTCACACCTGAGGCTGCAGGGCTGCATTTGACTCGGGCTTCGCCCGATTTCCTCCGCAGTTTCATGATCCTCAAAAACCAGGATCACGAAACTGCGGAGGAAATCGGGTGAAGCCCCGAGTAAAAATGCAGCCCCAGAGCTTCGGGTGTGAAATTGACATGTTTGTGTCGGGGCAAACGGCGCTGTGCTGCGAGGCAGCTCTAGTGAGAAATCGCCCAGAGAGAGAGCAGGGCGGAGACTGTGGTGGAAGGGGAGAGGCGTAGGAAAGGGGCAGTGAGAAATCTGCATACTGCGCTGCATTTGTATGGAGGGAGGAAGTGTGTTTTGAGGGGGAACTGTCTGTGTAGGCCAGTGGGGGGAGAAGAGTAGAATGAATCTCTGAGCGAAGAAGCCTGAGTCGTGTGTTACGAGACTGCAAAGAAATGTGGGCCAAACTACATGTTTCACACAAGTGTGCGGAAGGGTAGCTTGAGCCCTCCCGCTGTTCAGAAAGGGGAGACGGGGAAGGCGGGATAGGCACCCTGGCCTCCTCCTTCGCCACTCCCCAGTGCCTCTTCCCAAAACGGTTCTTTTTGTGCAAAACAAAGTGGTTGGCGGGTGACCACTGACGCGCGTTTGTGCATAATGCCAACCCTGGATGCTTTGTGTTAAGAAAGGAGCGAGTTGGTGTGTGTGGATGGGAACGGAAGACTGTCTGTGTGGGTTTCTGTGCTTCTAAATGGAGGATGAAAAGACTCTCTTGGCCGTGACCCTTTTGCCTGAGTAACAACGCCTTCCGGAATGAGCTTCAGCTAGTTACAGCCGAAGCGGCGCACTGGGCAAGACCGTCAAAGACTAGTCGAATTGTTTGTAAGCCGGTTGGTCTTCATACTCCTCTGCGAGGCTGTGACACGTTGGGAAAGGGAAAGTGTCTGTGCAAAAATACGCAGGTGTGCTTTTCAGGAATCTCGCAACAAGGGAGCGTTTTTTCCCTCTTTTGCATTAAGTTTGTCTCAACTCCAAATCGGGCCAACACATCAACTTGGGAAACCTCTAAAAGGCTAATACTTTTAAGGCCTACAAATCTCTTGCCTCTAGCTGAACGCGGCAACCGCTCCGGCCGCAAAGTGGTCTCGCTCATCGCTCCAAGGAAATCAGTGCTTACGTCCAAATGAATACCAGCTGTCAAGAGACACCGTCCTAATCCACCCCCAACTCACAAAGCTGTGGAAACAGCCGTTTACAAGGCTACATTCTGGTCCTCCGACAGGGTATTTTCGTAACCCTTTCGATTGCTAATCTGCTCAAACAAAGAAGTTGCTTTTTTTTTTCCAGATAGGGGTTAGGTCCTGTAGTTCTACTTGACCAAAATCTGCTGGGAATAGGTTTCTGCGCCTTGCATGAAATTCTGTTTATTCCATTAAGAGAGGGAGACGCCCCCACCACCATTCACAGCGTCACACATCAATTCCAACTTCATCGTTTTACTTAGGTCCAACTACAAGGAAGAGCGAAGGCAACTCTCCGAGAGAGGCTGGCACACGCGTTTCTTTGTCGCTCTCCCCGACACTGGTTTGCTTGCTGTCTGGGCCTCGCTCTTGCCTCAGTAAGGATACTGTTTCTGTTTCTTGCCTGAAAAACAGGCCAGCCAAGTGCAGATCAGCATCGCCGCAGCAGCACCTCCTCCGGTGCAGTAATAGGCCCAGCCGATTTCACAAGTGCCTGTGGGCGAGTCAAATAACAATCAAAGGACAACGCTGTTAGTGGATTTTATTTACGTTACACGTATCCCACCCTCTCCGGAATGTGCCTGGGATGGCTAACGCAAAAGAAAACGACGAACAAAATATACACATCTCTAAAACAAGGTGTAATCGATACAATGGGTTGAAACAAGTTTAATAAAGCTATTACACACGATCATTCTCTTCTACCACCTATTTCACTGGAAACGTGTGTGTTTTTGTAGCGCTGCGTGTAATAATTTGGAGCAACACTGTGAAGCACTATCGAGTGGCGAATTCTGTAATGTTCCGAAGAGCACCGGGTCAGCCATAAGGTGTCTCATCATTTGAGGAATGCTGGGAATAAATGCCAACATCTGTCATTTTGTCTGAAACAATGGGTGTGGTACAGTCTAAATTTAAGGACTTTGAAATCCCATTAACCTCTAAAGGGAGAATTTAAAAAAAAATGCTTGAGTTCTTTCCCATATAAAGATTCTTCCTACTTCTGTTAGGGTTGTGATCAGTGCGGAACTGAGCATCCCACCTGCAGAAATGTTCAAAATATTTTCTCGCATCTCAGGTAGGGCTTCTTCAAACTCCAACCATCAAACAAAAGGTAGTTTCAGAAAAATATTTGTTCCTCTCTGCCTCCTAGAAGATGAAAACTCTTGCGGAAGGGAAAGGTTTTTTGGCCCCCTGCGCATGACAGGGATAGATGTTTATAAAATTGTTAACCCTGCCAAGGGAGCGGAGTAAAAATAAAGTATTCTGTCTTTCAGCAACACTTACAACTCAGGTCATCACTCATTTCCACACTGGGCGTTTGATCTGGCTTGGATGCTAAAGGGAAGCGGGTCATTTCCCCCCTGCGCCCACACAGCATTGTGTACTCTCATTCACCGTCCAGCTTTCCCCCAGCTTTCCTATAACCTTTCCAAAGACTGGTTTACTACAATATTTTTCAGAGACTGCAGCAAAGCTGGGGTGGCTACCATGTAGACAGGAACACAGAGATGCACTTACTTGACCAGGGGTCATTTTGTAGAAAAAGAGGTGCAGGAGCTCATTATCATAACTCATAAGCATAACTTATTTGCATATGCCACACACCCTGACATCACCGGAAGTGTGTCAGAAGGCAACCCCCACCGCTCAGGCGCCACTGGACTGTTCTGGATTGCTAGCTATTGGGGGGGGGGGTGCAGATCTGTCCTTGCAGAGGAGGGAGAGCTTGTACCTGAATAAAACTTGGACTTAAAGGTGCCACTGGACGGTTTTGGACTGGGGGGCCGGGGGGAGCTCTGCAGCTTACCTGGCTGCTTCTTGCTCTGACTGAGGGCTGCTGGGAGCAGGGGGTGGGGCTTGTTGCATGTGCCCGCCCCCTGGGTTCTTTACTGCCGGAGCTCCGCTCCTGTGCGCTCCTGCAGGAAATGACCCCTGCTTGTAACTTAGGTTCATCGATGTCTTTTGTGCATTGGGACTGTGCCTGCGCAGGCCTGACACAGACAGAATTTTTCTAGCTTTAAGAACCCAAATGTGGCAGCCCCTCCCTTCCAGAGCCAACACAACAGTGCTTTCCTGTCTAAACAGTCATATGCTCCAGGGAGGCCATCTCCTTCACCCTCAGTTCCTGCCAATTCGCTGCAAACCCCGACAGAAAAAAAACACACGAGTCTGTGAGCAGGTGATTTGGCTACTGTATAAATTAGTTTGCTCTGGAGCCCTCCTTCCTGAGCTAAGACAAAAATGAGTGAGCTGGAGGCTAAAAAGCTGTGAGGGAACACTGGACTCCACTCTAAGGGCTGGTAGCTCACTCATCCTCCTAGCAGATATGAGTGGTACAAAAAGGCGACCTTTTTGGATAGTATAACCAGTGGCTGTGAGGCCACTGGCTCACCGGGGGGGGGGGGGCCCCAAAAGGGGGGGGGGCAGAAGATGTGTGAGGCAAATCGGTCCCTGAAAAAGGGAGCCTGGAGTTGAGCTTCTAGTTAGAACTTTCCCCCTTACTGATCCTGGTCCCTTTGGGGAACCTGGTGGCTTCTCGACCTGGGTCAAGTAGAGCTTCTCCTCTTTTGGAAGGGAGAAGACTGGAATTGCCGATGAGTATACTGGGGGGGCACTCTAATGAAGCTGATGTCACTGACCGCAATAGAAGGGGGTGGCAAAACCCTGCTGAAGTGAGGCAAAACGCTGCCTTGGGGCTGCAGAAGGGAGAACCCCCAGGGACTTGGCCGTTTGCTTGTTCTTCTTAATTGTGGAAAGGGACTTGTCGGTGTTCCGAGAAAACAGACTTGAACCCTCAAAGGGCAGGTCTTCCGCATGGCAACATATCTCAAGGGGAGCGCAGTCCTGCGCAACTACAAGCGCCTTCTTACTACGGTGGCTGCCATGGATCTCGCAGATGCCTCTGCAGTGTGCCTGCCAGCATTTATTTCTTGTTTGGAGAGAGTTTTATGGCTTCTGCCTGAATAAGCTCAGCCAGAGATTTAGAATCCTCAGGCAGCTCATCTAGATATTGGGATAGTTTCTCCCACAGGAAAAGCTGATAGCCCCCCATAATCACCCGATAATTCAAAATCTTGAAATTCAGGGCAGTTGAAGAATACATCTTGCGACCAAGCAAATCAAGACACTGACTCTATCAGACGGAGATGAATGCTGGTCCTGTGTCTGGTGTGACTGCATCTCCTCAGTGATGAGGAGGAAGGTGGGGAATGCAGAGATAGGAATTCACAGGAATCTTGTTTGATTCTATAGAGCAGAATTTCAATCCTCTGTGAAGTTGCTAGTGTGGATGCTGGTTTTTGTCACACTTGAGTCCTGAGATCTTCAAGGCCTTGCAAAACTGGAAAGGCTACAGTGCCCGGGGAATCCAGGTAGAGGCAACTTAGAATGTTATCTTTCGGTTTGTTATCCACTGGCTGAGACATCGATGTCTACTGCCTGAGCCATCCTCAACATTTGTTCGCCATATGGGCATGGGATCCCCAAATCCTGTCATCTGGGGAAAGTTCAGACTGGCTCCCAGAACTAAAACAGGATACAACAGTACCTTCATCTTCTGGTTCGGACTCGGGGACAACGAGGGCATCATCGGCAGCTGAGACTTGTATCAACCAAAGCCTTCTGCTGAATGGCTATACCCTGGCATGGGTGGTTCAGGTTGGGGATAAAATTCTGGCCACTTCTGCAGATAAGTAGGGGACATATAGTAAGGGTGCCACTGGGGTGGGGTGGTCTCTGTCAATTCTAACTTAGGTGGCAAAGGATCCCCTTGGGGAGGACTGTTGCCATCACCTTCACTTTCTGAGAGACGCCTATCTGGAGACGATACATGCGGTGATGGGGTGCAAGGCGCCACAAAAATGACATCCAAATCCACGGAGGACCTACGTGATGAGGACAATCTCTTCCATTGCTTGGAGGATGAAGCCATCTTCTCCTTATGTTTAGTTTTCTTTGCCTTCTTTAAAGGAGGCTTGGAAGAGCTGTGCACCAGAACCAAGGTCAAAGGCGAGGTCAGGCGCATCTGCATCGAAGATGGAGCTAGAGACATAGATCTCTTCAGATGCAAGTGCGCCTTCACGGCTACCAGAACCATTGGAACCAAGCGTACCAACAGGGGGGCGGAACAGGCTCTAGAATGGGAACTGAAGGGGCTAACCTGACTGGGGATGGCGCCTTCGCTGGATCTGATCCCTGAACTGGCCTGGACAGTTCGGATGTAAGGGCTTTCCCCAAAGAGCCACCTTTAAGTGGAATGCCCTGTCAGAATGCGCTTTTGGGTTAAACCCTTGGCAAATTTTGCACACCATCACATTATGGGCCTCTCCCAAACACGTTAGGCACAGATCATGCATGTCACTGCAAGTCATTTTAGTTGCACATTATATGCATTTCTTGAACAGCACATTGGAAGACATAAGGGATTTTGGTCCAGGTTCTTCCATGAAAAAAATGGGGGGGGGGGTCGGCAAAAGCCACCTCACCACCCTAGAGGAGAAGTTCTGTGACGATTCCAAATCCCCACAAAACAATCCAGTGAGAGAACGAAACCTTCAGCAGAATGTGAAGATACGAAGACTGCAAACGGAGCGCTAGCTAGAACGATTCTATCCACGCAGCGGCAGAAAAGGAACTGAGGGTGAAGGGGATGTTCCCCTGGAGCATGTGACCGTTTAGGCGGGAAAACGCTGCCGTGTCGGTTCCAGAAGGACTCTTAAAGCTAGAAAAATTCTGTCCATGGCAGGCCTGGCACTGCTGCCCAAACACAGAGGGCTTTTTTGTTTTTTGTTTTGTTATGTCAATAACTGACAAATCATGGTAGGGTTATAACACTACTAGCACCTGGTCAATTACTGATAACAATTCTCCAAAATCTCTAGGGTGGTGTATGCAGAGAGAATAGCCACCAGCGGGGAATGAGTCAGGGAAAATGCGGGAAAGCCGCCCTGTGGAAACCCCATTACTGCTGCACTTAATTGGTAGCTGCTGCAGCAACAAGGAACCCAGGAGACCCCTGGCTCTGTGGAAGTCATCATCTACTGACTTTGTTTGGCAATCTTTATTTGCCAAAGTAGTGAGCTGAAGTGAATCTCCTCTTATTTGGTGACATTTGATGGGAAATCTGAGCATCTAAGGCGTTAAAAAGGACTTGAACATTATTTCGCCAGAGAGCCCCTTGGAGAACCACAGACAGTCTCTTTTTTAAACTGTACTTAGGGTTGGCAACTGGCCTGGAATGAAGCCTCTGTCAAAGGACTTCGTGTGTGGAAATGGGCCGTTCATGCTTTTCATGGCATTGCAGGTAAATAGCATCACCTGGTAAACAACATCCTATTAAGCCTCTGTTAAAGCGGCAGGGCACTGTTTCTCCAGGCAGCAAAGTAATCCTAACTGCACTGAGGCAAAAGGCTAACACTAGTTCATGGGATCAGAACAGCTACATACTTCAACAGAGGTCCCCAGCAGGGCGCCCGCAGGAACCATGGTGCTCGCCAACACCTTTTCTGGTGCCCGCCAAGTGTTTTTAGAAACCGGGCAGGGGCAGGTGGGACTTCCGCCCAGCAAGGCTTCCGATTGGCCACTGGAGATTTGATTGGCCATGTAGACTTTTTAACACTGTTTGGCGGCAACTGCCACCACAGCACGAGGATCTTCACTGGGTGACTGAACGTAAGCTGCGACAGCCATTTTGAGGCTTGCTCCACCTCCCGCGACAGCTATTCTACGGTAATCATTTTGTGTCTGAGCCTACCACACTGTGTCAGAATTCCAAAAGTGCCCCTAGGCTCAGAAAGGCTGGGGACCCCTGTACTACAATGCAATTTCAAGTAGACAGCCCCACTATATCCTACCAGCAACCCAAAGGAACTGGGTTAACCAGCTGTCTACCTCAGAATATGCAGGTATCCAGGGGTCATTTCCTGCAGGAGCGCACAGGAGCGGAGCTCCAGCAGTAAAGAGACCAGGGGGCGGGCACATGCAACAAGCCCCACCCCCTTCTCCCAGCAGCCCTCAGTCAGAGCAAGAAGCAGCCAGGTAAGTTGCAGAGCCCCCCCTAGCAATCCAAAACAGTCCAGTGGCACCTTTAAGACCAAGTTTTATTCAGGTACAAGCTCTCCCTCCTCTGCGAGGACAGATCTGCACGCCCCCCCCCTCCCAATAGCTAGGAATCCAAAACAGTCCAGTGGAGGCTGAGCGGTGGGTGTTGCCTTCTGACACACTTCCGGTGATGTCAGGGGGTGTGGCATATGCAAATGAGTTATGTTAATGTGTTATGCTAATGAGCTCCTGCACCTCTTTTTCTACAAAATGACCCCTGCAGGTATCACTCCAGAGTGGCTTGTGGCGTGATCTGATTCAAAGGTCTATGAGGCTGCATCTTATCTCTTCAAAAAAGAACTACAAAGGAGGAACTAGGAATCAACTCTAGTTTTATAACAGTGTCTGTCTGGGGCATTGGGTGGGGTGGGGGGTTCCAGGTTCCATTTACTTTCCGTAGATAGAATCCCTGCAGGTGTTTGTGGTATGGCCTGTCGAGCACGTCACTTTAGGCGGTCACTTTGTAAGGCTTTAAATTAAGCAAGGGCACCCTGACCAGGATAGCCCAGGCAAGCCCAATCCTGTCGGATCTCGGAAGCGAAGCAGGGCCGACCCTGGCAAGTACTTGGATGGAAGACCTTCAAGGAATACCAGGGCTGGGAGGCAGAGGCAGGCTCATCAAGCCACCTCTTTGAAAAACGTCCAAGCCCCAGTAGGGGTCGCCAGAAGTCACCATGACTTCCTGTCACACAAAGTACACACGCACACACAACTTCTTTAAAAAAAAATTAAACGGGCAAATGACAGGGCAGAAAGGACTAGTCTTCTGGAAAGGCAGAATGGGCTGTTGTGGTTGATGAGGTACTTACCACATCTATTTTTAAAGCATTTTTAAAGGCCTCTACAATATAAAAACCTGCAGGACAAAATCCTTCCAGATGCTTACAATCTCGTACAAGTCCCTCCCCCACTTCCAGCTGTGCTGTGAGAGCACCTTGACCATCTGCAAACCACTCTGACAGGATCTCTGAAGAACAGGAGCAGTCTCTTACCCAGTTCAAACTGGTTGGAAAGGTTGCCACAGGTCTGCCTGACTTCTTCACTGTCCCAGCCCAGAGGATAAAGAGCACAACCAGAACCAATTAACAAGCCTGCAGAGATAAAAACAAAAGAAAACAGACACATAAACAAACCAGGGTCTCCCTGGGCACTCAATGAAATTGCTGAGCAGTCGGGTACGAATGGATAAAAGGAAGTACTTCTTCACCCAAAGAGTGATTGACACATGGAATTCACTGCCACAGGAGGTGGTGGAGGCTACAAGCATGGATGGCTTCAAGAGGGAATTGGATAAACATATGGAGCAGGGGTCCATCAGTGGCTATTAGCCACAAGGTATAGATAGGAACTCTCAGTCTGAGGCAAGTGATGCTCTGTATTCTTGGTGCTTGGGGGCGGGGCAGCAGTGTGAGGGCTCCTAGTGTCCTGGCCCCACTGCTGGACCTCCTGATGGCACCTGGTATTTTTGACCACTGTGTGACAGAGTGTTGGACTGGATGGGCCTTTGGCCTGATCCAACATTGGCTTCTCTTATGTTCTTATGACTGGTGGTCAATTGTTAGTACATATTTTGCCACCACTGGGTTTTGTGTGTGTCTTTTTTAAAGAATGAGCATAATACACACCATCCTTGCAAGAAATTCCAGAAATGTTAACAGCCTACCGATTCACTAGCAGACAGATTAATATGCAGATCTTTCCCTGTCACAGGTCTGTTTGGTATTCTGCACACACAGTTGTGACACAGCTCTCCCACTGGGGCTTCATGGCAGTCAAGGCTGCTTGAGGAGAACGTGAGGTACGCCTACAAATGTGGGATTCCAGACTGCGTCCCTGCAAAATTGGGAACAGTCTGTTTACCAGATGCCCATTCCTTGTTGATGCAACTATTTACTTGTGAAGGGCTAACAAGTCATGGTAATGGAACGGAGAACACAACGAGCTTAACGTTTTTGCTAGAAATCCAAAAAGAAGCATAATAACAAAGATCCCCAAAGGATTTCAGGAAGGGTACTCGATACCTGGAGAGGGGAGAGAATTAACTGTGAACTGGATTTACTTTTTTCCAAAACAAGATACTGAATTTAGAAGTACGGATTCAGGAAATGAGGAAGAACTGGACATTTGCATTCAAGGGCTTAAACCCTCTGCTCTGTCTTTGTCGGGCAGAATTTTGAGAAGCAAAATCAGAAAAACGCACTCAGGGAAAAGGTCTTGCAGTCTGCCTGCGTCTTTGAGCAGCCAAGGAATTTAGGCAGTTTAGATGGGTTTTCAAGGTGGAAGCTTAGAAGTGGATAAACTGTGTATCCCACTCGCATTACAAACCCACAGATTATTCCTCACAACAGATTACTGCATTACAGGGTTTGGACATCTGGTAGTAATCTAGGAGTAAGGTTTCCCTTGCTCAAAAGCCAAGCCGAAGAGCCAGCGCTGTCCAAAGACGTTTCCGTGGTCATGTGGCCAGCATGACTAGACGCCGAGGTGCACGGAACGCTGTTACCTTCCTACCGAAGCAGTACCTATTTATCTACTTGCAATTTCTTGCTTTCGAGCTCCTAGGTTGGCAGGAGCTGGGGCCAGGGACGGGAGCTCACTCCATCATGCGGCACTCAGGTCTCAAACTACTGAACTCCCAACCTTCTGGTCTGCAGTTCAGCGTCTTAACCACTTGAGCCACCGCAGCCCACACAATCTAGGAGTAAGCCTGTGCAAATACACAAGACACTGAAAGGTATTTTATAAATTTGGAGCTCTGTAATCAAATGGTAACATATGTTGCTTGTCTCAGTTGCATGGACGGTTGCCAACCTCCAGGTAGGGCTAGGGATGTCAGGTCCCTTCTGGGCAACAGACAGGATGGGGGAGGGACCTACCAGGAGCGGGAGGGAGGCCCAGCCAACGTTGTATTGATGCGTCTACGTCACTTCCGACGTTACCCGGAAGAGACGTCATCACACAGTGATGTTGGGGCGACGCTCTGGTATTTGAGCAAAAGCTCTATGGTAAATTTGGCTTCTACCATAGAGTTTTTGCCCAAATACGAGAACATCACCCCAACACTGCCAACATGATGATGTCACTTCTGGGCCATGTCAGAAGTGATGTAGACACATCGTTGCAACATTGACTGGGCTTCATTCTTTTTCCAGGTAAGTCCCCCCCCCACCAGCAGCCAGCTGATCGGCAGCAGGGCGATGGGGCCTGAGGGTGGGGGACCCCTGCCTCCCCTGGGGGGTGGTCTAGCAACTCTAGGTGGAGCCTGGACTTCTCCCAGAACTACAACTGACCTCCAGACTACAGGGTAGGCTGATCAGGTCTCCCATCACAGTGGGAAATCTCCAGCTGTCTCTGATCTCACTTGGCATGGCAGTTCGGGGCGGGAGAAGGAGTGTGATGTCACTTCCAGCGCGAGCCCACAACATGGTACTCTAGAGTCCCCCCAAAACTCTATAATTCCCCCATCCCTGCCCCTTACTCTCCCTGCAATGGCTGGCAACCCACAGAGATTGGTTCCTCTGGAGGCAATGGCAACTTCAGAAGGCGGTCTCTATGGCGTCCCATCCCCAGTGAACTCCCTCCCCTTGGCAAACTCCACCCTCCGCAGGCAGCATCCTGCCAATCACCAGGAATTTCCAAAGTCAGGATTGGAACCTTTACCATAAGCAATTTTCACGGTCAAGCCATTTCCCCATCCCAGGCATCTTTTTATGTCTGAGGTGATCTGCCCATCTTTCCGGATCGATCCTGCTAAACACTATTTTTATTTTTATTACCCCCTGCAAGCTTGGGAAACAACAAGGAATTGTTTCTTTTTCCATTAGGCAAATTGGCCTGAAGCCTCATGAAAAATTTAGTTCCATCTAGATGGGAAAACTTCCAGCACTATTGGCATCACACACTCTGTACTTGGCAAGAATCTCTAGCCTAGGGAAGGGAAATGACCCAGCTATTATCTGATCTGCTGTTTCGATGCAGCTGTATGTATCAGATCACAGCTCTTTATTATTGAAACAATCATTTCTGAACAGCGGGGGCCCAAGAAAGCAAGAATTAATTCAGTAATATGCATTCATGAATTTGAAAATAACACAAGCGGCTCCAGTGGAGGACGAAGGCTGTGCCAGTAATTGCTGAATTGAAAATGTTGTAAAAGGCCCGCTGGCTCTAAAGCTACTATTAAATGAGTTGTACTTTCTGCAAAATGAATGTTAGGACCCCGTAAAGACCCTTGCTTAGTGAATATCAAAGCGATGATTAAAGATTCCGCAATCGCTCATAATTACTTCCCATGTGACCATTGTTCATAAAGATGCTTTACAACAGAAGTGGCTGTTGCAGACCCCGGCAACTCATTAAACCCATAATAAAGGTTACATTTAATACCTTGCTTTTCTCAAATTACAGTCAACTTGGCTAATTAAAACATCTCCTGTACAGTAGAAAGTACAAAAAGCCAGCACTAAACAACGGAGCCTGAGAATCCAATAAAACAGTCACAGTGCAGCAGAATAATTTCATTCAAAATCCCTCTTTAGAAAGAAAAAACCCCCACTCTCTCAAAACTTGAAATGCTGGAAGTCCAAACAGAAGTCCACAAGAACAAGGCCATAAAAGATGAAGATGCCATTTTGTGCCCCACTGCCTAGCACAGGGGTCCCCAACATGGTGCCCCCATGGGCACAGTGATGCCCACCAACACCTTTCCTGGTGTTCTTAGAAAGTGGGTGGGACCAAGTGGGGCGTTTGCTCAGCAAGGCTTCTGATTGGCCTAGGGTTGCCAGGTCCAAACAAGAAGCCAGCAATGGACTTACAAAGGCGCTCCAGGAGAAGGGAGGGAAGAAGCACGACACATCACCCGGAAGTGACATAGGCACGTTGGTGATGTTGGGGGCAATGCTCTGGTTTTTGGGCAAAATTCTATGGTTCGAAGCTAATTCTACCATAGACTTTTACCCAAAAACCAGAGCGCCCCCCCCAATATCCCCAACGTCCATACATCATTTCTGGGTGACGCAGGCACATAGCATTTGGGGTGGTTACTCTCCCCTGCTGGCCAGTGCTGGAGAGAGCTCCAGAAACTGGGGAATCCCCCGCGCGCTGGGGGACCTGGCAACCCTAGATCGGCCACTGTAGATTTCGTTGGCTATGCACATTTTTAAATGTTGCTTTGGCAGCAGCTGCCTTCATAGCAGTGAAGTCAGTGTGTGACTGCAGGTAAGCTGTGGCACCCATTTTGTGGCAGCCATTTTGTAGCTGCACCAGTCAGACTGTGTCAGAATTCCCAATGGGTCGGCAAGCTCGAAAGGGGTTGGGGACCTCTCTCCTGAAAGAGGTCACACAACAGACCAGACCTTGATGTAAGACTTCAAGAAGCCTCGTAAATGGCAAGAGGGTTCATACGAGGAGAGAGCACTATCTCAGATGCACCAAGCCCAAGTCCTTTTAGAGCTTTATAAATCAATACTGGCCCTTTGAATTCTGCCAGGAAACTGGAGAGCTAATGCAATTGCTGCAAAACAGGTTTTATAAGTTCCGTCAGGAAATGGGCCATGGCACTCTACAGTAGTCGCTGCGTCTGAATAAACACTGTCCTGAAGGGCAGCTCATGTGTAGTTGTCTGCAGGAGTTAATCCACACATTCCTCATGCATAGCAGACAGATAAAACCCAGGCCTTTGTAACACAAACAGGAGCATTTTCATCTTCTCTTCCGTTTCCCTAATCCTGAACAGTGTGGATTCCCACAGAAGAGCCACCTGCCGTTTTAAATTCAGGAAATGGCATGTCAATTGATTAAGTAATCAGTTTTTTATTTTAAAGATAGTGGATGTTGAAGGTTAGTGTGCTGGACTAAATTTGGAAGACCTGAATTCAAATCCCTACACAGCCACAAAGATCACTTGAGCCAAATGCTCTTTCTCTGCCAAACCAACCTCACAATGTTGTTGTAAAGATAAAATGGAGGGTGGGAGAACCACATAACCGCCCTGATTTCCTTGGAGAACACACAGGATAAAACTCATCGCCAGATGGTTTTGCAGCCACTCGGGTTTGTAATGCATTATGGGTTTTGCAGTCTTTAAACCACC